AAAGCGAGATGAGCACCGCAACCCCAGAGTCAGTCATGACTGGACCTGATGGTCAGGGATTCCTTTACCTTTTATGTAAAGCAGGCAGCTAGACTGGTTCATATTCATCAATCCTGAAAGCACTGCACTGGCTTCCTGTGAGGTACTCAGTATATGACATTGGCATTGGATTCATAGGCAAAAATAGCTGAGAACACATTAACTAAAAATGTTCCTGCCCTTAAAAATCAAGATAGTCCTTTCCCAAAGTATGATTTTAATCAACATTGTTCACTTTCAGAGGCTAATTGAAAAAGTGTTTTCTTGCTTTGTTCTGGCATTTGTCATCTGTCACTTCAGAGCGTTATATAGTGGTGTCAACATTGTGCTATTCTGCTACATTGTTGTATTTCATTTTAGTTGTTTTAAATAGTGCTGGTACAGTATTTTGTATTTTACTGATATTTTATATGATTTGGTTTTGTGCTCAGAGATGAATAGTATACACAATCTAATGCAGATCTTCAGGATTTCCCAGGAAATCTTCCTGAGAGAGTTCTTAGTAGATAGAGAATCAACCGCTCCCTACAATCATTACAAAGGTTACAGATCAAAAGTACATGATCAACAATTTCTATCACTCCACTTCCACCTTGGAGTTTTGCTTCATCATCCACTTAGTATATTAACATGAGCCATGATAAATGGTCCCCTGTTATTCTTTTTTTAAAAAAAATACTATTTATTAAATTTTCCACTTTAACAATCCAATCAAATCATATTAAATATTCCAAATTTTACATATTATTCAAATATTATACATATTATTCCAAATATTATGCCAAATTATAAAAAAAATTGAAGATATCTTCCCATGTTCTGAGGTCGAGGTGGTTCTGATCATCTCATACTTCTGCTGCTTTCATAATTTTCATGATAGTTCCCATAAATCATTCTGATGTTAATCCTCATTACATTTCACAGCCTCTGAACAAGCAATATAAAACAAAACAATATATTTTGTGTGGAATTTACATCCCGAGTTCTCTCTGTATGTTCACGGTGTCTCTTCACAAAATGATGTTTCCACCAAGCCAGTCCAAAATCTTCTCATCTCGAGCAGCAGCCAAGTCAGTCCAGATAATATCAAAGATAATATCAAAATATTTGTAACTGGCTGACTGACCGAACCCAAAGGGTGCTCATCAATGGTTCCTCTTCATCCTGGAGAAGAGTGACTAGTGGGTGCCACAGGGTTCTGTCCTGTCCCCGGTCTTATTCAACATCTTTATCAACGACTTGGATGATGGACTCAAGGGCATCCTGATCAAATTTGCAGATGACACCAAACTGGGAGGGGTGGCTAACACCCCAGAGGACAGGATCACACTTCAAAACGACCTTGACAGATTAGAGAACTGGGCCAAAACAAACAAGATGAATTTTAACAGGGAGAAATGTAAAGTATTGCACTTGGGCAAAAAAATGAGAGGCACAAATACAAGATGGGTGACACCTGGCTTGAGAGCAGTACATGTGAAAAGGATCTAGGAGTCTTGGTTGACCACAAACTTGACATGAGCCAACATTGTGATGCGGCAGCTAAAAAAGCCAATGCAATTCTGGGCTGCATCAATAGGAGTATAGCATCTAGATCAAGGGAAGTAATAGTGCCACTGTATTCTGCTGTGGTCAGACCTCACCTGGAGTACTGTGTCCAGTTCTGGGCACCACAGTTCAAGAAGGACACTGACAAACTGGAACGTGTCCAGAGGAGGGCAACCAAAATGGTCAAAGGCCTGGAAACGATGCCTTATGAGGAACGGCTAAGGGAGCTGGGCATGTTTAGCCTGGAGAAGAGGAGGTTAAGGGGTGATATGATAGCCATGTTGAAATATATAAAAGGATGTCACATAGAGGAGGGAGAAAGGTTGTTTTCTGCTGCTCCAGAGAAGCAGACACGGAGCAATGGATCCAAACTACAAGAAAGAAGATTCCACCTAAACATTAGGAAGAACTTCCTGACAGTAAGAGCTGTTCGACAGTGGAATTTGCTGCCAAGGAGTGTGGTGGAGTCTCCTTCTTTGGAGGTCTTTAAGCAGAGGCTTGACAACCATATGTCAGGAGTGCTCTGATGGTGCTTCCTGCTTGGCAGGGGGTTGGACTCGATGGCCCTGGTGGTCTCTTCCAACTCTATGATTCTATGATTCTATGAAAGCACGGCATCTGCCCAATGCTTTAAGACCAGCTGTCCTTCAAATGGTTCACCTGTCCAGGGAAGGTTTTGCCATATAAAACTGGGAATGCAAATATTAAGTAAGATATTAAAAGGCTCTGCATTTAATTTGACAAGCTGATCTACTTTCGGTCATGGCCGCTCGTTTAGTTGGAGCTGCGGCATTCTGATTCTAATTCTAGGCAAACTTTGTAAGTTTTTTTTGCCGTCTCTCCAGTCATTCTCCAAATCAAAATTGGGAAACTCTTTATCCTCTTTCAAATATATCTGAAGTCGAATACTTTGAACTTGGTTTTCCACTTTTGAATAATTGTTATTTCCACACAGTTAATGACTATTAGAATCATATTATATCACCAAATACACCAGCTCTCCAGTCTCGCTTGCTATAAATAATCAGGGAGTTGGTTCTTTCAGAGGAGGATTTTGCCATATAAGAAAGCAAAATGAAATATAATAATAAAGAAGGCTGAACCGCCCCTTTCAGTTGCAACATACCAAGTCTACATAGATGTTTATCCTTTTTCCGTTCAAATCCTTTTTAGCACTTCAGTGGCTGAATTAATTAGCAGAGTAGTTTTCCCCCCTTCGCTCAGATCATGTTCAAAACTTAAATCCAATTTTTCATCTAAAGAACTGGAAGCTTGCTGCTAAATGGAGGCGACTTTGGAGAGTTGCCAAGAAACGTTTCTGGCTTTCCATCAAGCGTCCCCCAGCCTCCCCTCTTCCTTCTGAATTTGGGGCCAGGTGTTGGGAGATCTGTGGATGAGCCTGAGGAGTGTAGGGATTACTCCCATCTCAGCCTCTGATTCCAGAATGTACAGCGGTGATGGAATTCAGCAATCCTCCATCACAGCTCACTGGAAGCTCTTCCCCCAAATGCTCCCCTATTCTTGGATACAATCAATATGTACAAGAATAAAGCTGTAATGATGCCGTAATAATAATAAATATCAACAGAAAACATTGAGCAAGGTTATCTGTGTTTTCCTATATAAGCTGGGGTTGGTGCTCTCCCTAAACTTGGTAAACTTGGGATATAGATTCACTATATATTCAATATTTTAGTGTGTGTGCGTGCATGTGTTTATATACAAATGTTTTTGGGATATCATGATTTCTTGTTTCCACTTGGAATCATTTGGCTTTTGCTTTTTCCAGATTTCATACGGTTCATTTGAACCAGCCATAAATTATGGAACCAAGTTCTCTTCCTTTTACCGCATGGTCCCCAATGAAGACCTTCAGTTTCAGGGAATTATCCAGTTACTTCTGCATTTCAGATGGAAATGGGTTGGGGTCATGACTCCAGCTAATGAAATTGGAGAACGTTTCTTGCAGAACATTGAGCCAATGCTTTTCAAGAATGGAATCTGTTCAGCATTCACAGAAAGATTTAAACACAATATACGTGATAACACTAACTTACAAGAAATGGTGGACATAAAGATTTTGTTACCAACTTTCACAACCAGCAGAGCCAATGCAGTTCTTGTATACGGAGAAAGTAGATTTATTATATGGTTGGCAGGTGCTTTAAGCACAATGGAGTTATATCAGCTACTATTTCCTCAAAAGAAGTCACGTGAAGAAAAAGTATGGATCACAACTACCCAAATTGATTTCATATTATATAGCCTGCAAAAAAAATTTAATGTTAATATACGAATGCTCCATGGTGCTCTATCCTTTGCAATTCACGTCAAGGAGATTCACAACTTTAAAGACTTTCTTCAGAGTGTATATCCTCATTGGACAGAGACAGATGGTTTTATCCAAGATTTCTGGGAAGATGCATTCAGTTGTTCACTTTCAAATTCCACTCTCTCAGCAACTATGTGTACTGGTGAGGAGATGCTGGAGAGCCTCCCTGCACCATATTTTGAAATGAGCATGACTGGCCACAGCTACAGTATCTATAATGCTGTCTATGCTTTGGCACATGCCTTAAATAGCATGCACTTGGCTGGAGCCATCCGCAACAGAAGAGATGCTAAGGGAAAACTCTCTCCTCGGTATGCAGATCCTTGGCAGGTATTGTTCCCTCTCAAAAAGCATTCACTGCATTGGTACATTTTGTGAGTAGACATTTACTTATCAGTAAAGAAATAAAAGAATAAAACTTAAGAAATTAAAAAATAAACCTTTAGAATTTTTTATCAGAGATGGGAATTAGAATATTTCCTATAATGATACTGCACAGACCTTAGATGACACAGGCTTTCACAAGCAACAGACTTCCAAAAACTACATGTAACTGAAGCTGTGCCAACCACATCCCTCTGCGATTCTCTCTGTCTCTCTTACCTGTCCAGTTACCCAGTGGTGTAAGGATGGAGGCCAGGGGCCCGTGGCCAATTTACATAATTCTGAGGGAGCACAAACAGAACCCCCACACCAGGCACTGGATCCTCATTTGGGGGTCTGCCACTGCTTGGGCATGTCCTGGAAGACCCCATCTTTCCCTGTCTACCCACTGCCAGGGGATTCTGGCACCCTGAAGCCAAACCTATACTCACTGGTAGGTCCCCAGAAGAGGCTAGCAACTGTGTGATCACTGTCTCTAGGCCCTGCTTTTCTCCCTCCTCCTCTCCATTGTGGACTGAAGTGTTCAACTTCTAGAGGAAAAGGAATTCATTCCGTCTAGGAAAGCTAATCAACAATCTTAATCAGACTGTTTGAATGCTTTATAGACCTTTTTATGCTCTTCCTCTTAGCTCCACTCATTCCTGCAGAGAATCTCATTCAACAACAGTGCTGGGGATGAAATTACATTAAATGAATATGGAGAGTTAGCAGCTGGCCTTGATATTACAAACTTGGTCACTTTCCCAAATAGATCATACATCAGAGTCAAAGTGGGAAGGCTGGATCCTCAGGCCCCTCCGGGCAAAGAGCTCACCATTAATGAGGACCAAATCAAATGGCACAGAGCCTTCACTCAGGTATGGAAAAAATGGCACAGACCCTGGTTTTCCACAGAATGGGATGCAACAAAAGCATTTCAGGCATTAATAATTTTGAAATTTATTATTTAATATAGCTTATTTTTCATATATAGTTTTCATATCTAGATGGATAGTGCTTTAATGGAGAGATTCTCTTTTTGAAAGAGTGACTTTTCCTGTATGTTTGCACCTTCAGCCTCTGAGGCCGTGCATGTTGGCCTTCAGTTTTGCTAATGGCACTTTTCTTTGTACATAGTATTACATTGCATGTGATACTGACATTCCCTTTTTGTTTATTGCATGTAAATAAGCCATCCAGGAGAAAATATTGTCCTTTAAGAAACGCTGTAAGGTCTATCAGTACAAAAACAAATGAGCCACAATATCAAAATGAGCAACATGCGCAGAAGACATCTCCCACTAAGAAGGAGCAATGGCTATCAGGGAGTCCAGCATCATCCAGCATTCTTGTTTATGAAATCCATGAAGCAGTTCTCCAGTCAGTGGAATTAGATTAAATACTAAGCTGGCTGTATCAGTATTTGGGTTGAGAATGAACATCATAATTTTCTTGATTTTGTATGAAGAAGGTTCAGGATATATACACCTAGGAGTGGTTGTAGCTGGTAAATAGGTCTAAGGTGGGTGGAGGACTCCTAGCTAGCACTCAAAAATACTTCAGACTCTAGTGATGAGTAAGAATCAGGGAGTGCTCCCAGATCTCTTGCTTCAAAGGGAATGCAACCCCTCACAGAACAAGGCAGACGTAGGAACCACCCAGCCAAAGCATTTCTCTATGTTAAGGATTTAGCCCCCATCCCATCCATGACTCACTCCAGAAACCTGTCAAACAATTTCAGCACCACCTTTCATTCTAATTAAATGGAAAGGTAGAACTGCATATCATCAGCATACAGATGATGACATGTGCCAGATCTTAGCATATTATTCCTAAGAGTTTCATACAGGTGATAAATACCATAGGAGGCAGAATGGGGCCTAACAGGACACCACAACCTAAAAGTCATGGGATAATTTGCATGTAGTGACCCTGCAGGTAGGAGCAGAACTACTATAATGGGTTACCTTAAATTCCTTGAACCACCACAAAAGGAACACCATGTGAACTCCTGTTTAATCACCTGAAATTGGATATTTGAAAAATTCCCCAAAACAATCTCTTAATATTAAACTTTCCCTATCTCTTTGGATAGGTGCCACCGCTTTCTCTATGTAATGCCAACTGCCATCCTGGTTACGGGAAGAAAAAGAAGGAGGGGGAGAAGTTTTGCTGCTATGATTGTGATCCATGTCCAGAAGGAATGATTTCAAATGAGAAAGGTTAGAGATGACATCTTAAGATAATGCAGAACCTCTGGGCTCCTGGCAATTTTGTTTACATTAAACTGCTGCAGGAGAGAAGGCTTGAATTAACAGATGTGTTTTTCTCATTGATTATAGATAACATCAATATGTTTTAATCTTTAAAACACCTTGAAGATTTCTTTTTTACGTAGAAACTAATATATTTTACCTCCAACTTCTAGAAAATTTGGGTGGACTAGGTGTTTTCTCCTCTAAGAATTAGGTTGTTTAACAAAAGCATTTGGGCTTGAAGGTCTTATACATTCTGACCTGGTAAACACTATGCTAAATGGATGAGTGATGAGGAAATTTATAAGAATACTTTTGATTACTTCAAATTGTCATGCATTCTTTGTTTGTTTTCAGACATGGAAACATGTGTCAGTTGCCCAGCAGATCAGTATCCAAACAGCGGCCAGGATCTATGCATTTCTAAGATTCCAAACTTCCTAGCCTTTGATGAAACCTTGGCCATTTTTTCATCTTCCTCTGCACTTTTATTCACTCTAATCACAATTCTGGTGCTCAGCATCTTCATTAAGCATCGCAATACAGCCATAGTCAAAGCCAATAACAGAAGCCTCACCTATGGTCTCCTTATCTCCCTCCTCTTGTGTTTCCTCTCTTCTTTGCTGTTTATCGGAAAACCTAATATGGTGACTTGCCTTCTCCGACAAACTGCTTTTGGCATTGTCTTCTCTGTGGCCCTCTCCAGCATCTTAGCCAAAACCATATTGGTGGTTTTGGCATTCATGGCTACCAAACCAGGATCCAATATGAGGAAATGGGTAGGCAAAGAACTGGCTTATTCCATTGTCTTTTCCTGCTCCATTGTCCAAGTAGGGATCTGTGTCCTCTGGCTGGCAACCTCTCCCCCATTCCCAGATGTGGACATGCACTCAATGACTGAAGAAATGATATTTCTTTGTAATGAAGGGTCAGTCTCCATGTTCTATTGTGTTTTGGGCTACATGGGCTTCCTGGCCACTATCAGCTTCACGGTGGCCTTCCTAGCCAGGAAGTTGCCTGACACTTTCAACGAAGCCAAGTTCATCACCTTCAGCATGCTGGTCTTCTGCAGTGTTTGGCTCTCCTTCATTCCAACCTACCTGAGCACCAGAGGAAAATACATGGTGGCTGTGGAGATCTTCTCCATCTTTGCTTCTGGTGCTGGGTTGCTGGTTTGCATATTTTCCCCTAAATGCTACATTATTGTGGTGAGGCCTGACCTGAACAACAAAGAGCAGCTAACCCAAAGAAAGGTATAAATGGCAGTGGAATTTGTGGTTCTGTTGGGTCTTAGAATACATGGACTTGCTGGCGGGTATCACTTTCCGAGTTCCTTCTCTGGATCTTTGTCGAGTTTGCTCCTTAACTGTTTGTCTGCCAAAGTGTCCCAAAGTCAATGGGTACAGATTTTTCCTCAGGTTCTACTCCCAAAGCCTTTTTCACAAATGAGTAATGCTGTAGTGCAGTGGAGGTTTAGGTTCAAAATTTCTTTCTCCTAGGTGGGCTCCCTTCCTAGATTTATGAGACCCATCTGCCCCTCATTTTCCTCTTCAGCACCTGCAGTAGCCACCTTTTTGAACAATGGGCCCACTTTTGCTCTCATCTGCTATATCCTGTCTTTGCTTGCAGAGAAATTCCATAACTCACTGAGTATTTGAGGCCCATTGGCTGCCCTCACCTGGTTTAGGGAGCCAGTTGAATCTGTTTCGTGGGAAGTGGCTGCTGTTGCAAGCAGACAACTTCTAGGAGCCACAGGTGAGAACTGAGCGCAGGGTGGGCGTCAGTGGTAGACAAACTACCCCAGAAGGAGCACGACTTGTTCCCCGCTAGAGTTACTACCCCTTCATACATCCCTGTCATACATCCATACATCCCTGTCATGTATTACTGTATATTTAAAGCAAATGGAATCTTAATAGCAAAACTCTAAGCCTTTTCATTTAGAAATGGATAATTTCAGTTGTTCAGTGTTGTACATGTACTGTATGAATGATTGTTAATAAAAAGTCTCTTATCAATTACTTCATGGAATCTGCAAATTCATCTTGAAGACGACACAGGGTACTAGAAGCAAAAAACATTGTGAAATAGTTGAGGGCTCTACATTCTTTATCTCTCACCCACAAAGCAGCTGATGAATAGAAGGAGAAGTTTAAAACAGCCATTTCCCTTGATTTTTAAATAGTTTTAAGAAAGAAATGTAGCAGAGATATGCAACATTATCTGGAGGAAAACACATTGGATATTACTAACACTAATAGGACAAAACTTTTTTTCTGAATTATACTTCTAACCAGTTTGAAAGAGTGGTGGCAGAGAATATCTCAAGTAAGCCCATCTTTAAGAATACAGATGTGTTGTTTCTAAACTTGATTATATAATAATAATAATAATAATAATAATAATAATAATAATTTATTATTTATATCCCGCCCATCTGGCTGAGTTTCCCCAGCCACTCTGGGCGGCTTCCAATCAAGTGTTAAAAACAGTACAGCATTAAATATTATAAACTTCAGTAAACAGGGCTGCCTTCAGATGCCTTTTAAAGAGAAGATAGCTGCTTATTTCCTTCACATCTGAAGGGAGGGCGTTCCACAGGGCAGGCACCACTACCGAGAAGGCCCTCTGTCTGGTTCCCTGTAACCCTGATTCTAAATTCTATTTATGCTATTTCTTTTATAATAATTTTTATTAATTTTCAATTACCAGCCAATAATAACCTCATTATATCAATACCAAATTATAGTACTAAGACTAATTATTCAAATACTGAATCATATAATTTAGGTGCCCCCCCACACGCTAGAAGTGCTGATTTGATGATTTCCTTTATTTCTGCATTCCAGAATCATCTTAATTTCTATTATATTCCGGTCAAAATAATAATCCCTTATACAACAACTGCAATATTAATAACTTCTATTTGTGTTGACACATTAAATGATTCATAGAACTACAAATGAGACACTCAAACTATATTCTTGCTCTTCCTGTGTGTGGCAGTTATTCTGTCCGTGGTGTTTCTTCCAGTCCTTGTAAAATGTTGTTTCTGTTGTGACAGAAACATTGGTCCCAAGTATTTCTATTTACCGTATTTTTCGCTCTATAGGACGCACTTTTTCCCCTTCAAAAATGAAGGGGAAATGTGTGTGCGTCCTATGGAGCGAAGATGCCATAGCCCCGCGACCCTCTCCCGGCTGGAGAGGTGACGCGCGGCTATGGCAGGAGCCTCTCCGCTGCGCCTTTCCGCTGCTCCCTGACCTGCTCTTTGGGGCTGGTGGTGGGCTTCCCCCCGCCAGCCCCAAAGAGCAGGTTGAAAGGAACCTGAAGCCTGGAGAGCGAGAGGGGTCAGTGCACACCCACCCCTCTCGCTCTCCAGGCTTCCAAGGTAGCCGCCTGAACGCACCTTAAACGGCACCTTGTTTTAGAGCGGGAAAACAAGAGGGGCAAAGTTCTCCCCCTCTCTGTGCAGCGCCTCCTGCTGCTTCACTGAAGGGGCGCTGGGCAGAGAGGGGAAAAAAAAAATTTCTTGTTCTCCCCCCTCTAAAACAAAGTGCGTCCTATTGTCCGGTGCATCCTATGGTGCGAAAAATACGGTACTTTTTTCTCCTGCCAGCAAATGGTTAAAGAACGGCAGCCTATGATTGGCTGTGGTTCCAGGGAGAGTTTTAAAGGAGCTGATTTCGAGGGAGATGGAGTTAGAGTGTGGTTAAGAGGGGAGTTGAGTTGAAGTGGTTGAGGCGGGAGGCTGGAGAGATTGGGAGTTAGGTAGGGAGATAGGATAGGAGTCAGGTTGAAATATAAAGAGTGTTGTGGAGAGTGAGTTGGTTCTGGAATAAAACATCCACTCCAGTGTCCTGCAGGAGTAAAAGGACCAAATCTTGCTGGGAGACTGGGTGTGAGGCAAGAGAAGGAGGAGCTGAAAGAGATGAGTCTACTTAGGTCTCCAACTAATCTGAAGGGGAGATACCCTTCTGAGGAAAGAAGAGACGCCCAAAACCCAGTGAAGGATGGTGGGGGGTGAGCCCTTAAGACTATTACTTAAAGTACCTCAGGAGATTGATTTGTTAAAGGGGTGGGTAACTAAAGGAAAGTACCGCCTTAGAAAGGGACTGAACTATAAAGCCCAAACCTCTGAAAGTGAATTAAAGTGAACTAGCATATTATTATTGAAGTAACCTAAGTTTCTCCACTTATATTATACTACCTTGTATTAAAAATAAATCTTTATTGTTTATGTAAAGAACACCTGCTTCAACTTCTTGGTTATTCCCATCACAAAGAACCGCCCCAGGATATTCTAGGATAGTTAGGTTTTCTTTTTAAGCCTTCGGGTAAAAGGTTGTTCGGTGAGGTTGGGGGCATTATATTAAAGTGAGAGCAGGCACATGGGCGTGAGCAGTAACCTAGGCGCCAAGCATCCATCTTTTCCAAGTTGTTGCTGTTCTCCATCATGCCTTGTGTGGATCTGATATCCCATTGGTCTATTGATGCTGTAATCCAGTGCCCCCACTTCTTGATAAGGCAAGGATGCTATGCCAATTGCTGCCACCATTCAGTTAATGTGATGGCAAACTATGTCTGATCAGTGTTACATAGGTGGGAGAGTGAAGGATACCCCAGTACTAACAAAATATGAAGTGGGGAAAGGATGGGGCCAGCTCAACTCTAGACATCCTGCTGACCTTGTAGGTTCATTCCTTGCCCATGATTTTGTGATGTTACAAATATAATTACATTGACAGATCCAGCTTCTTGTCTACCAGCTGCGGCAATAGATGCTTTTGGATTCACTATCTGCAGTCCGGATTCAGAGCGTTCCTCCTAGGCTGGAAAAAAATGGTGAACACTGCTTTTTTACTGGAAGCCGAATCACAGGACAAAGCGATGCAGTGAGTTTTGGAAACTGTGGGATAACCGCTTCTCCCAAGGCATGATGGGAACCATCAACAGTTGCAGGAATGAAGGATACAGCACCATATATGGACGGGAAAACATCATGGGGGAAAATTGTCACACACAGGAAAGAATAAGGATTACACTTAGAGTTCCTCACTTGAAACTTTAGAAATTACCTAATATACCAACACAAACAGAAATCACAAGACTGTAGCTGTTATCTAAGAGATTATTATATGTGCATGGAATGCAATGGAAATTATTAACATAGTGGAACACAGAAATAATGAAGAATGAAGATATTAAATCTAGCATGCATGGGGGCCAGTTTAATTAAATTATATAATTTGACATTTGAATAATAGGCATTCATAATTGCATTAATTAAATAAAATTGGTATTCTTATAATGAGGTCGCTATTGGGACAATATTGGTAAAGCAATAAAAATATATTTTAAATATAATAATAGTAATATTTTGGAAGTTCCCCTGCTGCTGATGTGCCATAGAATCCAAAAACAATGCACAAGTGATTCTCTACCCTATGATTACTCAAATTACAATAATCAATCCACCTGACTGAACCTCCAGATGTCACAGCGGAAAAAAAGAATCAACAAGCAAGCCTGAAATGATTATAAGCTCCTCTGTGCTGCATAGACCACAAGGCTGGCCTCTGTTACTTATCAGTTATCAGTTTCCCTCTTTCATATCAACTACTTATTTGGCATCCAAGGCATTCTGTTGTGACCGTGTGCAAGTTAACAGTAAGGTGGATACGTGTCCCTTACAGTACCAAAATGACAGAGTCAGCTGCCACCCAATTTGTCTTATTCAGATCAGGTGGAGGAGAGGAATAATACTGTCGGGAGAAGCAGGGGAGTCCATGCAGACAAGGGTATTTGCCATCAGGATGTTCCTCCTGCTGCTTCTCCTGCTCCCCAATATAGTGTCCCAAGGACAAAGTGCTAAATGCGCAACAAATCATCCTGTTCATGTTCCACACGAGTGGTATGAGCCAGGTGACCTGGTCATTGGTGCAATGGCATCTCATATTTATTACATAGTCCCCAAATTATGCTTCAAGAAACACCCTTCCCAGGACTTCATTGAGGCCCCACTGTAAGTAACCATTAATTAATATTATTTTAATTATTCCTTATATGCTATATCGGACAGAAAATAACTTTGATTGATTTGAAGGGGGGATGGCTTTAGAACTTTATTTTTTAAATGTATGGAGAGATTTTATTAGAAATCTCTGTACATATAGGCTATGTGCATACTGTCAATGAACAATAAGCTCTTTTGAATCTAATTGTGGTAAGAGAGATAGAAAAGAGAGTAGGAGAATGAGAAAAGAGATGGCATAAAAAATAGGAAAAGCATATAGCCAAGTAGTATGGTACTTAACTTTTTTGATGATACCCAAATTTTCAAGGTGGCAAAAACAAACACGGGTTGCTGAAGATATAAAGAAATATGCAACAGCTTTTAAAATTACACGGTATTCTTAGATTGCCCGAATAAGTAGATAAACTTTGCTGGCTTCATCCTCTCTGTATAAGCAGGCAGGTGTTATTGTTTAGTCGTTTAGTCGTGTCCAACTCTTCGTGACCCCATGGACCAAAGCACGCCAGGCACTTCTGTCTTCCACTGCCTCCCGCAGTTTGGTCAAACTCATGCTGGTAGCTTTGCGAACACTATCCAACCATCTCGTCCTCTGTCGTCCCCTTCTCCTTGTGCCCTCCATCTTTCATAACATCAGGGTCTTTTCCAGGGAGTCTTCTCTTCTCATGAGGTGGACAAAGTATTGGAGCCTCAGCTTCACAATCTGTCCTTCCAGTGAGCACTCAGGGCTGATTTCCTTAAGAATGGAGAGGTTTGATCTTCTTGCCATTCATGGGACTCTCAAGAGTCTCTTCCAGCACCATAATTCAAAAGCATCGATTCTTCGGTGATCAACCTTCTTTATGGTCCAGCTTTCACTTCCATACATCACTAGTGGGAAAACCATAGCTTTTACTATACAGACCTTTGTTGGCAAGGTGATGTCTCTAGTTATTAAGATGCTGTCTAGGTTTGGCATTGCTTTTCTCCCAAGAAGCAGGCGTCTATTAATTTCGAGGCTGCTGTCACCATCTGCAGTGATCATGGAGCCCAAGAAAGTAAAATCTCTCACTGCCTCCATTTCTTCCCCTTCTATTTGCCAGGAGGTGATGGGACCAGTTGCCATGATCTTCGTTTTTTTGATGTTAAGCTCTCCTCTTTCACCCTCATTAAAAGGTTCTTTAATTCCTCCTCACTTTCCGCCATCAAGGTTGTGTCATCTGCATATCTGAGGTTGTTGATATTTCTTCCGGCAATCTTAATTCCGGCTAGGGATTCATCCAGCCCAGCCTTTCACATGATGAATTCTGCATATAAGTTAAATAAGCAGGGAAACAATATACAACCCTGTCGTACGCCTTTCCCAATTTTGAACCAATCAGTTGTTCCATATCCAATTCTAACTGTAGCTTCTTGTCCCTCATAGAGATTTCTCAGGAGACAGATGAGGTGATCAGGCACTCCCATTTCTTTAAGAACTTGCCATAGTTTGCTGTGGTCGACACAGTCAAAGGCTTTTGCATAGTCAATGAAGCAGAAGTAGATGTCTTTCTGGTACTCTCTAGCTTTTTCCATAATCCAGCGCATGTTTGCAATTTGGTCTCTGGTTCCTCTGCCTCTTCTAAATCCAGCTTGCACTTCTGGGAGTTATCAGTCCACATACTGCTTGAGCATTCCTTTTAGAATTTTAAGCATAACCTTGATAGTGTGTGAAGTGAGTGCAATTGTGCAGTAGTTGGAACATTCTTTGGCACTGCCCTTCTTTGGGATTGGGATATAGACTGATCTTCTCCAATCCTCTGGCTACTGCTGAGTTTTCCAAACTTGCTGGCATATTGAGGGTAGCACCTTAACAGCATCATCTTTTAAAATTGTGAATAGTTCATCTAGAATATCATCACTTCCACTGGCCTTGTTATTAGCAGTGCTTTCTAAGGCCCATTTGACCTCACGCTCCAGGATGTCTGGCTCAAGGTCAGCAACCACATTACCTGGGGTGTACGAGCCATCCATATCTTTCTGGTATAATTCTTCTGTGTATTCTTGCCACCTCTTCTTGATGTCTTCTGCTTCTGTTAGGTCCTTACCACTTTTATCCTTTATTATGGTAATCTTTGTACGAAATGTTCCTTTCATATCTCCAATTTTCTGGTTCTTTCCATTCTGGTTCTTCCCATTCTGTTGTTTTCCTCTGTTTCTTTGCATTGCTCATTTAAGAAGGCCTTCTTGTCTCTCCTTGCTATTTTTTGGAAATCTGCATTCAATTTCCTGTATCTTTCACTATCTCCCTCGCATTTTGCTTGCCTTCTCTCCCCCGCTATTTGTAAGGCCTTGTTGGACAGCCACTTTGCTTTCATGCATTTCCTTTTCATTGGGATGGTTTTCGTTGCTGCCTCCTGTATAGTGTTGCGAGCCTCCATCCATAGTTCTTCAGGCACTCTGTCCACCAAATCTAAATCCTTAAACCTGTTCCTCACTTCCACTGTGTATTCATAAGGGATTTGATTTAGATTGTATCTTACCGGCCCTGTGGTTTTTCCTACTTTCTTCAGTTTAAGCTTGAATTTTGCTATAAGAAGCTGATGATCTGAGCCACAGTCAGCTCCAGGTCTTGTTTTTGCTGACTGTATTGAGCTTCTCCATCTTTGGCTGCAGAGAATATAATCAATCTGATTTTGATGCTGCCCACCTGGTGATGTCCATGTGTAGAGACGTCTCTTGTGTTGTTGGAAAAGCGTGTTTGTGATGACCAGCTTGTTCTCTTGACAGAATTCTATTAGCCTTTGCCCTGCTTCATTTTGATCTCCAAGGCCAAACTTGCCACTTGTTCCTTCTATCTCTTGATTTCCTACTTTAGCATTCCAATCCCCTATAATGAGAAGAACATCCTTCTTTGGTGTCATTTCTATAAGGTGTTGTAAGTCTTCATAGAATTGGTCAATTTCAGTTTCTTCAGCACCAGTAGTTGGTGCATAAACTTGGATTACTGTGATGTTAAAAGGTCTGCCTTGGATTCGTATCGAGAGCATTCTATCATTTTTGAGATTGCATCCCAGTACAGCTTTCGCCACTCTTTTCTTGACTATGAGGGCCACTCCATTTCTTTTATGGGTTTCTTGCCCACAGTAGTAGATATGATGGTCATCTGAACTGAATTCACCCATTCCCGTCCATTTTAGTTCACTGATGCCCAGGATGTCAATATTTATTCTTGCCATCTCATTTTGACCACATCCAACTTACCCAGGTTCATGGTTCTTACATTCCAGGTTTCTATGCAATATTTTTCTTTACAGCATTGGACTTTCCTTTCGCTTCCAGGCATATCCGCAACTGAGTGTCCTTTCAGCTTTGGCCCAGCCACTTCATCAGCTCTGAATCTACTTGTACTTGTCCTCCGCTCTTCCTCAGTCGCATGTTGGATGCCTTCTGACCTGAGGGGCTCATCTTCCAGCATCATAACTTTTATATGCCTGTTGTCTTTGTCCATGGAGTTTTCTTGGCAGGGATACTGGAGGAGCTTGCTGGTTCCTCCTCCAGGTGGATCACGTTTTGTCAAAACTCTCCACTATGACCTGTCTATCATGGGTGCCCTGCTCGGCATAGTTCATAGCTTCTCTGAGTTATTCAGGCCCCTTCGACACGGCAAGGCAGTGATCCATGAAGGGGAAGCAGGCAGGTGTATCTCTCCTATCTAGATTCTGTGCACTGTTTAATTTTCCCATTAAACAAAATCTCACTTCATTTGCAGGGTGTTGACAAAGTTCTACCAGCAAATCCTGGCCTTGGTGTTTGCTGTTGATGAGATCAACGAGAATCCCAGGATGTTGCCCAATGTCTCTCTCGGCTTCCACATCTATGATAGCTATTATGATTCAAAGATGACCTACCGAAACACTCTGGACCTGCTCTTTAAATCACATCACTTTGTTCCCAACTACAGGTGTGGCATCCAGAAAAATGTCATAGGAGTCATTGGGGGACTCAGCTCTGATACCTCCTGGTGCATGGCAAACATCTTAGGTCCTTTCAAGATTCCACAGGTGGAATATGGATTTTGAAAAACAGAGATTTCACGCTTTCCTTGCATTAGGAATCTACTGATTCATAAATATGGAGTGGGGAAATAGACAAAGTAAAAGGGCCATAATATGCATAACCAACAATGTGTGTAAGAAGGGCAATTTGTGTTTAATAGATGTAATAGAAGATTTCTCTAAAGCTGCGAGGTTTGTAAAGGAGGCACCTAGACTGGTTCATATACAACAATCCAGAAAGAACTGCACTGGCTTCCTGTGAGCTACTGAATATATGACATTGACATTGGTTTCATAGGCAAAAATAACTGAGAACACATTAACTAAAAATGTTCCTCCCCTTAAAAATCAAGACAGTCCTTTCCCAAAGTATGGTGTTAATCAACATTGTTCATTTTCAGAGGCTAATTGAAAAAGTGTTTTCTTGCTTTGTTCTGGCATTTGTCATGTGTCATTTCAGAGCATTATATAGTGGTGTCAGCATTGTGCTATTCTGCTGCATTGTTGTATTTCATTTTAGTTGTTTTAAATAGTGCTGGTACAGTATTTTATTGATATTTTATATGATTTGGTTTATTGTGCTCAGAGATGAATAGTATTCACAATCTAATGGAGATCTTCTGGATTTCCCAGGAAATCTTCCTGAGAGAGTCCTTAGTAGGTAGAGAATCTACCGCTCCCTACAATCATTACAAAGGTTACAGATCAAAAGTACATGATCAACAATTTCTATCACTCCACTTACACCTTGGAGTTTTGCTTAATCATCCACTTAGTATATTAACATGAGCCATGATAAATGCTCCCCTATTCTTTTTTTAAAAAAATATTTATTATATTTTCCACTTTAACAATCCTATCCAATGATATTAAATATTCCAATTTATACATATTATTCAACAATCAAACAGTCCAAATATTATGCCAAATTATATATAAAAAAATTGAAGGTATCTTCCCATGTTCTGAGGTCGGGGGTGGTTCTGATCATCTCATACTTCTGCTGCTTTCATAATTTTCACGATAGTTCCCATAAATCATTTCGATGTTAATCCTCATTACATTTCACAGACTCTGAACAAGCGAGATAAAACAAAACAATATATTCTTTGTGGAATTTACATCCCGAGTTCCCTCTGTATGTTCACGGTGTCTCTTCACAAAATGATGTTTCCGCCAAGTCAGTCCAGATAAAATCAAAGCAAGGTATCTGCCCAATGCTTTAAGACCAGCTGTCCTTCAAATGGTTAACCTGTCCAGGGAAGGTTTTGCCATATAAAAGTGGGAATGCAAATATTAAGTAAGATATTAAAAGGCACCTATCCCCCTAAGGCTCTGCATTTAATTTGACAAGCTGATCTACCTCCGGTCATGGCCGCTCGTTTCATTGGAGCTGCATCATTCCGATTCCAATTCTATGCAAATTTCCTAAGTTTTTTTGGTGTCTCTCCAGTCATTCTCCAAATCAAAGTTGGGAAAGTCTTTATCCTCTTCCAAATATATCTGCAGCCGAATACTTTGAACTTGGTTTTCCACTTTTGAATAATTGTTATTTCCACAAAATTAATGACTATTAAGGTAAAGGTAAAGGGACCCCCGACTCTGGGGTTGCGGTGCTCATCTCGCTTTATTGTCTGAGGGAGTGACTAAGCCACTTCTGGCGAACCAGAGCAGAGCACAGAAACAAGGTTTACCTTCCCACCGGAGTGGTACCTATTTATCTACTTGCACTTTTGACGTGCTTTCAAACTGCTAGGTTGGCAGGAACTGGGACCGAGGAACGGGAGCTCACCCCGTCGTGGGGATTCGAACCGCCGACCTTCTGATCGGCAAGTCCTAGGCTCTGTGTTTTAACCCAGAGTGCCCCCCAGGTCCCCTAATGATTATTAGACTCATATTATATCACCAAATACACCACCTCCCCAGTCTCGCTTGCTATAAATAATCAGGCAGTTGATTCTTTCAGAGGAGGATTTTGCCATATAGCATAGCAAAACAAAATATTATAACAAAGGAGGCTCACCCCCCCACACACACACACTTTCAGTTCCAACATACCAAGTCAACATAGATGTTTATCCTTTTTCCGTTCAAATCCTTTTTAACACCTCAGTGGATGAATTAATTATCAGAGTAGTTTCTTCCCCTTCACTCAGATCATGTTCAAAACTTAAATCCAATTTTTCATCTTAAGAACTGGAAACTTGCTGCTAAATGGAGGCGACTTAGGAGAGTTACCAAGAAATGATCCAGGCTTTCCATCCAGCCACCCCCAGCGCCCCCCTTCCTTCTGAATCTGGGGCCAGGTGTTGGGCAATCTGTGGATGAGCTGCCACTCCCCAGCCTGGGGAATGTAGGGAGGCTGATTACTCCCTTCTCAGCCTCTGATTCCGGAACGTACGGCAGTGATGGAATTCAGCAATCCTCCATCGCAGCTCGCCAGCAGCTCCTCCCCCAAATGCTCACCTATTCTTGGACACAATTAATATGTACAAGAATGAAGCTGTGATGATGCCATAATAATAATAAATATCAACAGAAAACATTGAGCAAGGTTATCTGTGTTTTCCTATATAAGCTGGGGTTGGTGCTGTCCCTAAACTTGGTAAACTTGGGATATAGATTCAATATATATTCAATATTTTAGTGTGTGTGTGTGTGCACGTGTTTATATTTGAATAAATAGGAATATCATGAGTTCTTGTTTCCACTTGGAAACGTTTGACTTTTGCTTTTTCCAGATTTCATATGGTTCATTTGAACCAGCCATAAATTATGGAACCAAGTTCCCTTCCTTTTACCGCATGGTCCCCAATGAAGACCTTCAGTATCAGGGAATTATCCAGTTACTTCTGCATTTCAGATGGAAATGGGTTGGGCTCATCACTCAAGCTAATGAAGCTGGGGAACGTTTCTTACAGACAATTGAGCCAATGCTTTTCAAGAATGGAGTCTGTTCAGCATTCACAGAAAGAGTTAAACTCAATATACATTATAACAGTAACTTACTAGAAATGGTGGACATAAAGCTTTTGTCACCAAGTTTCACAACCAGCAAAGCTAATGCAATTCTTCTACATGGAGAAAGTAGTTTTAGCATATGGTTGTCAAGTGCTTTAATTACAATGGAGTTAACTCAGCTACTATTTCCTCAAAAGAAGTCACATGAAGGAAAAGTATGGATTACAACTACTCAAATTGATTTCATATTATATAGCCTTCAAAAAAAAATTAATGTTAATATACGAATGCTCCATGGTGCTATATCCTTTGCAATTCACTCCAAGGAGATTCACAACTTTCAAGACTTTCTTCGGAGTGTATATCCTCATTGGACAGAGACAGATGGTTTTATCCAAGATTTCTGGGAAGATGCATTCAGTTGTTCACTTCCAAATGCCACTCTCTCAACATCCAACGATCACATGTGTACTGGAGAGGAGATGCTGGAGAGCCTTCCTGCACCATTTTTTGAAATGAGCATGACTGGCCACAGCTACAGTATCTATAATGCTGTCTATGCTTTGGCACATGCCTTAAATAGAATACACTTGGCTGCAGTCAACCGCGAAAGGAGAGATGCTGGGGGAAGACTCTCTCCTCAATATGTAGAACCTTGGCAGGTAATGTTCTCTGTTACAAAGCATTCACTTCATTGATACATTATGTGAGATAGCATTTAATCATCAGTAAAGAAATATAAGAATAAAACTTAGGAAATTAAAAATAAACCTTAAGTAAATTTATTGTTTGAAAGATGGGAATTAGAATATTTCCTATAACGATACTAAACAGACTTTAAATGACACAGACTTTCAGAAGCAACAGACTACCAACAACTAACTCCTTCACACTGCAAATCCCTCCGTTTTCTCCAAATATCCCTCCCCAGTTCTCTCTGTCTCTCCTACCTGTCCAGTTACCCAGTGGTGTAATGTTGGGGGCCTGGGGCCCATGGCCCCGGGTGCATAATTCTGATGGAGCAAACCAGGACACCAACCCCAGGCACTGGCTTTTGCAGGGATCTTCATATCCAAGAGAAAACAGAAGAGCAGCCCCTACCTGGGCACGTCTTGGAAGACCTCGTCCCCAACTCCTCATCTTTCCCTGTCTGTCAACCACCAGGGTTTTCTGTGCGCTGAAGCCTCACTGGTAGGTCCCCAGAAGAGACTAGCAATTGTGTGATCACTGTCTCTAGACCCTGCTTTTCTCCCTTCTCCTCTTCTGGATTTCAGTCTGGCACATCCTCTTCCTGCTCCCTTAACCCTGTTGCCCCTTCTGCATCTGACACCTCTTCCTCCCAGTCAGCTCCCTCTTCTCACACTGACCACTCCTTGTCATCCCACCACCAATCCCCTGGCTCTGAGCCTCCTTTCCTTGGGGTGTCCCTTGGGGGTTCTCCAGCTGCTGCTCCCTATCACTTCTCTGCATCCAACATCCAACCATGGTCAAATCCACTCTATAAACTATGGAAAGGTTCAGTCCAATGTTCTCATGTTGCATTCCTATCCTTTGAGAACATGAGCTCCCATCACTTCTCTTACATGACTTCTTAAATTCCTTCCCTTTCTTGGATACAGACAAAGGCTGGTCTCAAGCAAGCAGGTCTATGGTCTCATCTCTCCATAATATCTTTATGCAAGTCTGTTGAATTGGCACTGATTCATGATTCCCTACTCCTTCTGTATGTGCAACTAAAATATGGATGTTCTCCATTGTGAACTGAATTGTTTAACTTCAATTCTCTTTCCACTTAGCTCCACTCATTCCTGCAGAGAATCACATTCAACAACAGTGCTGGGGATGAAATTACATTAAATGAGTATGGAGAGTTAGCAGCTGGCTTTGATATTACCAACTTGGTCACTTTCCCAAATAATTCCTATGTCAGAGTCAAAGTGGGCAGGTTGGATTCTCAGGCCCCTCCAAGTAAAGAGCTCACCATTAATGAAGACAGAATCAAATGGAACAGACGCTTCACTAAGGTATGGAAATAATGGCACAGTCCCTGAAAACCCAGAATTTGTGGTTATCCACAAAATGGGATGTAACAAAAGCACTTCATACATTATTCATTTTGAAATTCACTAGCACCTCAAACCACTTCAGACTAGTGATGAGTTAGAATCGAGGAGTGCCCCCAGACCTCTTGTTTCAAACGGAATGCAACTCCTCCCAGAACAGGTCAGGCATAGGAACCCAAAGCATTTCTCTCTGAGACAGGATGTGGCCGAACAGGAAACCACAACCCAAAAGTCATGGAATGATTTCCTAGTCCTAGTTGCTTGTAATGAACCAGCAGGTAGGAGCAGAACCACTATAATGGCTTACCTTTAATTCCTTGTGCCACCACAAAGGAACACAATGTGAATTCCTTGAAGCAAATGCAATTAAGTGGTGACTCCATGAAAAGGCCAAGCCAAATTCTAACACAGCTGTAAGGTTGGATGGTCCAGGCATGAATACTGACATCTTCTTAAGTTTGTATGATGCTTAGAACAGCAGCTTTTTACCACAATGTATGTGCCACTTGTGTACCTACAGATCATTTCATGCTATTAGTCCTCCTATTTACTATTAAATCACCTGATATTGGAAATTTGATAAATTCCTCAAAACAGTATCATAATATTAAACTCTTCCTATCTCTTTGCATAGGTGCCACCACTTTCTGTATGTAATGCCAACTGCCATCCTGGTTACGGGAAGAAAAAGAAGGAGGGGGAGAAGTTTTGCTGCTATGATTGTGATCCATGTCCAGAAGGAATGATTTCAAATGAGAAAGGTTAGAGATGACATCTTTAGATAATGTAGAAGCTCTGGGCTCCTTGCAATTTTGTTGACATTAAACTGCTGCAGGAGAAAAGGCTTACATTAACAGATGTGTTCATCTCATTGTTTATAGATAACACCAATATATTTAAATCTTTAAAACATCTTGAAGATTTCTTTTTTAAGTGGAAGCTAATATATTTTACCTCCAACTTCTACAAAATTAGGGTGGAATAGAAGTGGTGTTTTCTCCTCTAAGAATTAGGTTGTTTGCCAAGGGGGTGAAAGTCTCATTAAACTCGATTTTCTGAGATCCAAAGATTTCAGCAGTAATGCATTTCTCATTTTGTTGTACTGTTTATGTGGCTCTAAGAAAAAGCAGGGGGACAGTAAAAACAGATAACACACATGTTGAAAATTCCAGAATTGATACACAAGTTTTATTTTTGATACACCTAGTGCAAAAGCATTTGGGCTTGAAGCTCTTATACATTCTGACGTAGAAAACACTATGCTAAATGGACTAGTGATGTGAAATTCTTAAGAATACTTTTGGTTACTTCAAATTGTCACACACTGTTTGTGCATTTTCAGACATGGAAACATGTGTCAGTTGCCCAGCAGATCAGTATCCAAACAGCGGCCAGGATCTATGCATTCCTAAGATTCCAAACTTCCTAGCCTTTGATGAAACCTTGGCCATTGTTTCAACTTCCTCTGCACTTTTATTCTCTCTAATCACAATTCTGGTGCTCAGCATCTTCATTAAGCATCGCAATACAGCCATAGTCAAAGCCAACAACCGAAGCCTCACCTATGGTCTCCTTATCTCCCTCCTCTTGTGTTTCCTCTCTTCTTTGTTGTTTCTCGGAAAACCTAATATGGTGACTTGCCTTCTCCGACAAACTGCTTTTGGCATTGTCTTCTCTGTGGCTCTCTCCAGCATCTTAGCCAAAACCATATTGGTGGTTTTGGCATTCATGGCTACCAAACCAGGATCCAATATGAGGAAATGGGTAGGCAAAGAACTGGCTTATTCCATTGTCTTTTCCTGCTCCATTGTTCAAGTAGGGATCTGTGTCCTCTGGCTGGCAACCTCTCCCCCATTCCCAGATGTGGACATGCACTCAATGCCTGAAGAAATCATATTTCTATGTAATGAAGGGTCAGTCTCCATGTTCTATTGTGTTTTGGGCTACATGGGATTCCTGGCCACTATCAGTTTCACGGTGGCCTTCCTAGCCAGGAAGTTGCCTGACACTTTCAACGAAGCCAAGTTCATCACCTTCAGCATGCTGGTCTTCTGCAGTGTTTGGCTCTCCTTCATTCCAACCTATCTGAGCACCAGAGGAAAATACATGGTGGCTGTGGAGATCTTCTCCATCTTTGCTTCTGGTGCTGGGTTACTGGTTTGCATTTTTTCCCCTAAATGCTACATTATTGTGGTGAGGCCTGACCTGAACAACAAAGATCAGCTAACACAAAGAAAGGTATAAATGATAGTGGAATTTGTGGCTCTGTTGGGTCTTAGAATAGATGGACTTGGTGGCGGGTATCACTTTCCAGGTCACTGCTCTGGATCTGTGTAGAGTTAGCTCCTTAACTGTTTTGTCTGCCAAAGATGTCCCAAAGGCAATGGGTACAGATTTTTCCTCAGGTTCTACTCCCTAAGCCTTTTTCACAAATGAATAATGCTGTAAAGCAGTGGAGATTTAGGTTCAAAGATTCCTTCTCCTAGGTGGGCTCCCTCCTATGTTTTCAAGATCCATCTGCCCCTCATTTCCCTCTACAGCATCTTCAGTAGCCACCTTTGTGAGCACTGGGCCCACTTTTGCTCTCATCTGCTATATCCTGTCTTTGCATGCAGAGAAATTCCCTAACTCACTAAGGATTTGAGGCCCATTGGCTGCCCTCACCTGGTTTAGGGAGCTAGCCAGTTGAATCTGTTTCATGGGATGTGGCTGCTGTTGCATGCTGACAACTTCTAGGAGCCACAGGTGAGAACTGAGTGCAGGGTGGGGATCAGAGGAAGGCAAACTACCATAGAAGGAGCACGACTTCTTCCCTGCTAGAGTTACTACCCCTCCCTAACACTCCATCACCCCTGTCATGTATTACTGTATATTTAAAGCAAATGGAATCCTAATAGCAAAACTCTCAGCCTTTTCATTTAGAAATGGTTAATTTCAGTGGTTCAATGTTGTACATGTACTGTATGAATGATTGCTAATAAAAAGTCTCTTATCAATTACTTCGTGTAATCTGCAAATTCATCTTGAAGACAACACAGGGTACCAGAAACAAAAAACACTGTGAAATAGTTAAGGGCTCTACATTCTTTATCTCTCACCTACAAGGCAGCTGAGGAACAGAAGAAGGAGTAGTTTAAAACAGCCATTTCTCTTTTTTAAAAAAAATAGTTTTAAGAAAAAAAGTAGCAGAGATATGCAACCATATCTGGAGGAAAACACACTGGATATTACTAAGACTAATAGGACAAGCCTTTTTTTCTGAATTATACTTCTAACCTGTTTGAAAGAGTGGTGGCAGAGAATATCTCAAGTAAGCCAAATGGCTTCAGAGAATACAGATGTGTTGTTTCTAAAGTTGATTCTAAAGTCTAGTTATGCTATTTCTGTTATAATAATTTTTATTAATTTTAAATTACCATTCAATCATAGCCTCATTAAAACAATACCAAATTGTAATACTAATACTAATCACTTAAATACCGAATCAGATAATTTAGGTGCCCCCCCATTGCTAGATGATTTCCTTTATTTCTGCATTCCAAAATCTTATTAATTTCTATTATATTCCGGTGAAAATAATAATCCCTTATACAACAACTGCAATATTAATAACTTCTATTTGTGTTGACAAATTAAATGATTTATAGAACTACAAATGAGGCACTCAAACTATATCCTTATTCTTCCAGTGTGTGGCAGTTATTCTGTCTGTGGTGTCTCTTCCAATCCTTGTAAAATGTTGTGCCTATTGTGACGGAAAAGTTGGTTCCACAAGTATTTCTTTTTACTTTTTTCTCCTGCCAGCAAATGCTTAAAGAACAGCAGCCTCTGATTGGCTGTGGTTCCAGGAGGGAGAGTTTAAAGGGAGCAGATTTCAAGGGAGATGGAGTTAGAGTGTGGTTAAGAGGGGGGTTGAGTTGAGGTGGTTGAGGAGGGAGGCTGGAGAGATTGTGAGTTAGGGAGATAGGATAGGAGTGTGGAGGAGGGAGAGTTGGTTCTGGAATAAAACATCCACTCTGAGTGTACAGTGAAGGACTGAGTGTATTGTCCTGCAGGAGTAAAAGGACCAAATCTTTCTGGGAGACTGAGGATGAGGCAGGAGAAGGAGGAGCTGAAATAGATGAGTCTGCTTAGGTCTCAAACTAATCTGGAGGGGAGAGACTCTTCTGAGGAAAGAAGAGACTTCCAAATCCCAGTGAAGGAAGGGGGGTGAGCCCTTAAGACTATTACTGAAAGTACCTCAGGAGCTGCATTTGTTAAAGGGGTGGGTAAATGAAGGAAAGTACCACCTTAGAAAGGAAACAAACTATAAAGCGAATTGAAGTGAACTAGTGTATTCTTATTGAAGTAACCTAAGTTTCTCCACTTGTATTATACTACCTTGTTCTAAAAATAAATCTTTATTGTTTATTTAAAGAACACCTGCTCGAAACTCCAACTTCTTTTTCTTTTTTTTAATATAATTTTTATTAACAAACCAATCAAATCACATTAATTCCAAATTACAGAGCCAGATTTTGAATTTTTTGTTGGGGGTACCCATGCTTCGAGCTCAGAAAGGGATCCAAACATCTCTATTGCTGCTGCTTTAATATTCACAGTTCTGTCCAAATAGTATTCACAGTTCTGTCCAATCTTCTCTTTATTGTTTTCCTCATCTTCTTGTTATCATATAATCCTTTCTTTGTGACCTCTGATAGTCTCCACAAGCGGGTTAAAAACAAACGTTGTTATAGTCCTGTGTAGATTTTCCATTCCTCCAAGAGCCATATTCAAATAGACAGACGCCATTTCATCACTCCGTACAAAACATTCTTAAAGTCTGCCCATTAATCCTCGCAGGCCTGTCACTCTCTCCTCAATCTTCTTAGGGAGTTCTGCCAGGTCAAACTCACAGTCCAATATGATAACAAAGCCATGGTCTCCTCCCCCTCGATCGTAAATCCTGCAACCAGGCCTGCTTCCTAGCGAGTCTCTTTTTATAACTGCGTCATTCCAAAGGCCTTTCATTCCTTTCCAGATATTCCACAAACCATGTCTTTGATTAGTAATTCATTTCCATACAGTTCTTAATCATCCCGCTTATAATCAGTAGTTGCAACGATTCTTCTTGGGGGGGCGTTGTTAGGTAATCACATAAGATAAAAAAAGAAAAGTTTCCTCCCCCCATTCCGTCCCGTTCCGACATACCGACCCTTTGATGTGTCTTCTTCTTGTCATATTTTCCTGTTGAATCCAGCCAGTCGCTCGACTTCACAGAGGTCACTTCACATAGCAGTCTCAACTCCCATTCTTCACTCGAAACATGTGCATTTGCTGCTCTCTAATTGTTTATTTTGAGCTGCTGCAACCAGGTGCGCTATCGGAGACAACGTCCGGGAGAGCCGAGAACCCACACAAGGGCTGTGCGCCTAGTGCCCTCACCCCCTGCATCTTTCAAACCCGGGGGTGATTTATCGGCACCACAGGCGAAGGCAGTGTCCCCGCATTCCCTGGGGTAACAAGGGAGGCTGCATACTCCCATATCAGCCTCTTAATTTCCTCATGTGAGCCGGAGAGATGGTATTGCCGGCCATCTTCCAATGCGCCCCTAGCGGCCCCCCGAGACTCCAACTTCTTGGTTATCCCCCTCACAAAGATCCCCCTGGTATAGTGAGGTTTTGTTTTTAAGCCTTCGGGTCAAAGGTTGTTCGGTGAGGTGGGGGCAATATATTTAAGAGAGAGCGGACACATGGGCTTGAGTGGTAACTGAGGTGCCAAGTTTGTCGCATCCATCTTTTCCAAGTTGTTGCTGTTCTCCATCATGCTTTGTGTGGATCCGATATCCCATTGGTCTATTGATGCTATAGATAAGGCAAGGATGCTATTCAGAATTGCTGTCACCATTCAGTTAATATGATGGCAAACTATGTCTGATCAGTGTTACATAGGTGGGAGAGTGATGGATACCACAGTACTAACAAATTAGGAAGCGGGGAAAGGATGGGGCCAGCTCAACTCTAGACATCCTGCTGACCTTGTAGGTTCATTCCTTGCTTATGATTTTGTGATGTTACAAATATAATTACATTGGCAGATCCGGCTTCCTGTCTACTAGCTGCAGTAATAAATCCTTTTGGATTCAGTATCTGCAGTCTGGATTCAGACTGTGCCTCCTAGGCTGGAAAAAATGGTGAACACTGCTTTTTTTCTGGAAGCCGAATCACAGGACAAAGCGATGCAGTGACTTTTGGAAACTGTGGGATAACCCTTCTCCCAGGGCATGATGGGAACCATCAACAGTTGCAGGCATGAAGGATACAGCGCCATATATGGATGGGAAAACATCATGGGGGGAAATTGTCACACGCAGGAAAGAATAAGGACTACACTTAAAGTTCCTCACTTTAAACTTTATAAATTACCTAATATAGCAACAAAAATAGAAATCAGAAGACTGTAGCTGTTATCTAACAGATTGCTATATGTGCATGAAATGCAATGGAAGTTATTAACATAGTGGAACACAGAAATAATGAATAAGATTGAAGCCATCAAATATAGCACGCAAGGGGAAACATTTAATTATATCATATAATTTGACATTTGAAGAATTGACATTCATAATTGCATTAATTCGCTAAAATTGGTATTGTTATAATGAGGTCACTTTTGAAACAATATAGGAAAATCAATAAAAATATATATTTAAAAAATAATAGTAGTAATATTTTGCCAGCTCCCCTACTGCTGATGCGCCATAGAATCCAAAAACACTGCACAAGTGATTCTCTCCCCTATCATTACTCAAATTACAATAATCAATCCACCTGACTGAACCTCCAAATGCCAGAGTGGAAAAAAAGAATCAACAAGCAAGCCTGAAATGATTATAAGCTCCTCTGTGCTCCATAGACAACTAGGCAGGGCTCTGTTACTTATCAGTTATCAGTTTCCCTTTTCATATCAAACCACTGCATCTTGTTTGGCATCCAAGGCATTCTGTTGTGACAGTGTTCAAGTTAACAGTAAGGTGGATACGTTTCCCTTAAAGTACCAAATTGACTGAGTCAGCTGCCACCCAATTTGTCTTATTCAGATCAGGTGGAGGAGAGGAATAATACTGTCGAGAGAAGCAGGGGAGTCCATGCACACAAGGGAATTAGCCATCAGGATGTTCCTCCTGCTGCTTCTGCTGCTCCCCAATATAGTGTCCCAAGGAGAAAGTGCTCAATGCACAACAAATCATCCTGTTCATGTTCCACACGAGTGGTATGAGCCAGGTGACCTGGTCATTGGTGCAATGGCATCTCATATTTATTACATGGTCCGTAAGGTTTCCTTCAAGAATCACCCTTCCCAGGACTTCATTGATGCCCCACTGTAAGTAACCGTTAATTAATATTATTTTAATTATTCCATATATGCTATAACTGACTGAAAATAACTTTGATTGATATGAAGGGAGGATTACTTTAGAACTTTATTTTTTAAATGCGTGGAGAGGTTTTATTAGAAATCTCTGTGCATATAGGCTATCTGCATATTGTCAATGAACAATAAGCTTTTTTGAGTCTAATTGTTTAAAGAGAAAGAGAAAAGTGATGGCATAAAAAATAGGAAATAATATAGCAAAGTAGTATGGTACTGAACTTTTTTGATGATACCCAAATTTTCAAGGTGGTGAAAACAAACACGGATTGCTAAAGATATGAAGAAATATGCAACAGCTTTTAAAATCACACAGTATTCTTAGATTGCCCAAATAAGTAAATAAACTTTGCTGGCTTTATCCTCTATAGGCAGGCAGGTGAATCTCTCCTATCTAGATTCTGTGCACTGTTTAATTTTCCCATCAAACAAAACCTCACTTCATTTGCAGGGTGTTGACAAAGTTCTACCAGCAAATCCTGGCCTTGGTGTTTGCTGTTGATGAGATCAACGAGAATCCCAGGATGTTGCCCAATGTCTCTCTCGGCTTCCACATCTATGATAGCTATTATGATTCAAAGATGACCTACCGAAACACTCTGGACCTGCTCTTTAAATCACATCACTTTGTTCCCAACTACAGGTGTGGCATCCAGAAAAATGTCATAGGAGTCATTGGGGGACTCAGCTCTGATACCTCCTGGTGCATGGCAAACGTCTTAGGTCTTTTCAAGATTCCACAGGTAGAATATGGATTTTGAAAAATAGATTTCATGCTTTCCTTGCATTAGAAATCTACTGATTCATAAATATGGAGTGGGGAAATAGACAAAGTAAAAGGGCCATAATATGCATATCCTACAATGTGTTTAAGAAGGGCAATTTGTGTTTAATAGATGTAATAGAAGATTGCTGCAAAGCTGCCAGGTTTGTAAAGGAGGCACCTAGACTGGTTCATATACATCAATCCTGAATGCACTGCACTGGCTTCCTGTGAGCTACTGAATATATGACATTGACTTTGGCTTCATAGACAAAAATAACTGAGAACACATTAACTAAATATATTCTTCCCCTTAAAAAACAAGATAGTCCTTTCCCAAAGTATGATGTCAATCAACATTGTTCACTTTCAGAGGCTAATTGAAAAAGTGTTTTCTTGCTTTGTTCTGGCATTTGTCATCTGTCATTTCAGAGCGTTATATAGTGGTGTCAGCATTGTGCTATTCTGCTGCATTGCAGTATTTCATTTTAGTTGTTTTAAATAGTGCTGGTACAGTATTTTATATTTTACTGATATTTTATATGATTTGGTTTATAGTGCTCAGAGAAGAATAGCATATACAGTGGTACCTCGGGTTACATACGCTCCAGGTTACATACGCTTCAGGTTACAGACTCCGCTAACCCAGAAATAGTGCTTCAGGTTAAGAACTTTGCTTCAGGATGAGAACAGAAATCATGCAAAGGCGGCGCAGCAGAAGCAGGAGGCCCCATTAGCTAAAGTGGTGCTTCAGGTTAAGAACAGTTTCAGGTTAAGAACGTACCTCCAGAACAAATTAAGTACTTAACCCGAGGTACCACTGTACAATCTAATGGAGCTCTTCAGGATTTCCCAGGAAAACTTCCTGAGAGAGTACTTAGTAGATAGAGAATCAATGGCTTCCTACAAACATTACAAAGGTTACAGAGCAAAAGTACATAATCAACAATTTCTATCACTCCACTTCCACCTTGGAGTTTTGCTTAATCATCCACTTAGTATATAAACATGAGCCATGATAAATGCTTCCCTATTCTTAATTACAATCAAAATGTACAAGAATGAAGCTGCGATGATGCCATAATATTAATAACAAATATCAATAGATAGAGAATCAACCACTCCCTACAATCACTATAAAGGTTACAGAGCAAAACTACATGATCCACCTCCACTTTGGACTTTGTTGAGTCTTCCATTTAGGATATTAACACGAACGATTATAAATGCTCCTCTCTACTTGGAGACAATCAGTGTGTACAATTATAAAGCTGGGATGATGCCAGAATAATAACAATAAATATCTACAGAAACCAAGAGCAAGATTATATCTGTTTTTCTATGTAATTTGGTACATTTGGGATATATATTCAGTGTGTGTGTGTGTGTGTGTGTTTATATACAAATATTCTGGGATATCATGATTTCTTGTTTCCACTTGGAAACGTTTGGCTTTTGCTTTTTCCAGATTTCATATGGTTCATTTGAACCACCCATAAATGATGGAACCAAGTTCCCTTCCTTTTACCGCATGGTCCCCAATGAAGACCTTCAGTATCAGGGAATTATCCGGTTACTTCTGCATTTCAGATGGAAATGGGTTGGGCTCATGACTCCAGCTAATGAAGCTGGAGAACGTTTCTTGCAGAACATTGAGCCAATGCTTTTCAAGAATGGAATCTGTTCAGCATTCACAGAAAGCGTTAAAACCAGAATACATTATAATGGTAACTTACTAGAATTGGTGGACATACAGATTTTATTACCAGCATTCACAACCAGCAAAGCTAATGCAATTCTTCTATATGGAGAAAGTAGATCTAGTATATGGTTGTCAACTGCTTTAAGCACAATGGAGTTTACTCAGCTACTATTTCCTCAAAAGAAGTCACGTGAAGGAAAAGTATGGATTACAACTACCCAAATTGATTTCATATTATATAGCCTGCAAAAAAAATTTAATGTTAATATACGAATGTTCCATGGTGCTATATCCTTTGCAATTCACTCCAAGGAGATTCACAACTTTAAAGACTTTCTTCAGAGTGTATATCCTCATTGGACAGAGGCAGATGGTTTTATCCAAGATTTCTGGGAAGATGCATTCAGTTGTTCACTTTCAAATTCCACTCTCTCAGCAACCATGTGTACTGGAGAGGAGATGCTGGAGAGCCTCCCTGCACCATATTTTGAAATGAGCATGACTGGCCCCAGCTACAGTATTTATAATGCTGTCTATGCTTTGGCACATGCCTTAAATAGCATGCACTTGGCTGGAGCCATCCGCAACAGGAGAGATGCTAAGGGAAAACTCTCTCCTCGGTATGCAGATCCTTGGCAGGTATTGTTCCCTCTTACAAAGCATTCACTGCATTGGTACATTTTGTCAGTAGGTATTTACTTATCAGTAAAGAAATAAAAGAATAAAACTTAAAAAATTAAAAAATAAACCTTTAGTAATTATATCAAAGATGGGAATTAGAATATTTCCTATAATGATACTAAAAAGACTTTAGATGACACAGGCTTTCAGAATCAACAGACTACCAAAAACTAAATGTAACTGAAGCTGTGCCATCCACCTTCTCCATATTATAAAACCCCTCTATTTTCCATCCGCATCCCTCCCCAGGTCTCTCTGTCTCTCTTACCTGTCCAGTTACCCAGTGGTGTAAGGGTGGGGGCTTGGGGCCCATGGCCCTGGGAGCATTATTCTGAGGGAGAACAACCAGGACCCCAAACCCAGGCACTGGCTTTTGCAGGGATCCTCATATCCAAGAGAAAAGAGAAGAGCAGCCCATCAGGGAGCTGCCACTGCCTGGGCACGTCCTGGAAGGCCTTCTCCCCAACTCCTCATCTTTCCCTGTCTGCCCACCACCAGGGAGGTTCTGGGCCTGAAGCCTCACTGGTAGGTCCCCAGAAGAGGCTAGCAACTGTGTGATCACTGTCTCTAGACACTTTTCTGCCTTTAAGTCTGGATTTCAGTCTGAAGCATCCTCTTCCTGCTCCATTAACCCTGTTGCCTCTTCTGTTTCTGACACCTCTTCATCCCAGTCTGCTCCCTCTTCTGCCACTGACCACTCCTTGTCATCCCACCACCAATCCCCTGGCTCTGAGCCTCCTTTCCTTGGGGTGTCCCTTTGGGGTTCCCCAGCAGCTGCTTCCTGCCACTCCTCTGCATCCAACATCCAACCATGCTCAAATCCACTCTATAAACTATGGAAAGGTCCAGTCCGAGGTTCTCATGTTGCATTCCTATCGTTTGAGGACATAAGCTCCCATCTCTTCTCTTACATGACTTCTCAAATTCCATCCCTTTCTTGGATACAGACAAAGGCTGGTCTCAAGCAAGCAGGTCTATGGTCTCTTCTCTCCATAATATATTTATGCAAGTATGTTGAATGTTGAATTGGCACTGATTCATGATTTCCTACTCTTCCTGTATGGGCAACTAAAATATGGATGCTCTTTGTTGTGAACTGAAGTGTTTAACTTCAATGCTCTTTCCACTTAGCTCCACTCATTCCTGCAGAGAATCTCATTCAACAACAGTGCTGGGGATGAAATTACATTAAATGAATATGGAGAGTTAGCAGCTGGCTTTGATATTACCAACTTGGTCACTTTCCCAAATAATTCCTATGTCAGAGTCAAAGTGGGAAGTTTGGATCCTCAGGCCCCTCCAGGGAAAGAACTCACCATTAATGAAGACAGAATCAAATGGCACAGACGCTTCACTAAGGTATGGAAATAATGGCACAGTCCCTAAAAACCCAGAATTTGTGGTTATCCACAAAATGGGATGTAACAAAAGCACTTCATACATTATTCATTTTGAAATTCACTAGCACCTGAAACCACTTCAGACTAGTGATGAGTTAGAATCGAGGAGTGCTCCCAGACCTCTTGTTTCAAACGGAATGCAACTCCTCCCAGAACAGGTCAGGCATAGGAACCCAAAGCATTTCTCTCTGAGACAGGATGTGGCCTAACAGGAAAGCGCAACCCAAAAGTCATGGAATGATTTCCTATTGCTAGTTGCTTGTAATGAGCCTGCACGTAGGAGCAGAACCACTATAATGGCTTACCTTTTAATTCCTTGTGCCACCACAAAGGAACAGCATGTGAACTCCTTAAAGCAAATGCCGTTAGGTGGTGACTCCATCAAAAGGCCAAGCCAGGGGTGAAATCACACCGAATTCTTACACAGCTGTAAGGTTGGATGGTCCAGGCATCTTCTTAAGTTTGTGCCACTTATGTGTAGCTACGGATCATTTCACACTATTAGTACTCCTATTTACTATTAAATCACCTGATATTGGATATTGGATAAATTCTCCAAAACAATATAATAATATCAAACTCTTCTATCTCTTTGCATAGGTGCCACCGCTTTCTCTATGTAATGCCAACTGCCATCCTGGTTACGGGAAGAAAAAGAAGGAGGGAAAGACGTTTTGCTGCTATGATTGTGATCCATGTCCAGAAGGAATGATTTCAAATGAGAAAGGTTAGAGATGACATCTTAAGATAATGCAGAACCTCTGGGCTCCTGGCAATTTTGTTGACATTAAACTGCTGCAGGAGAAAAGGCTTAAATTAATAGATGTGTTCTTCTCATTGTTTAGAGATAACATCAATATATTTTAATCTTTAAAACATCTTGAAGATTTCTTTTTTAAGTGAAAGCTAAGATATTTTACCTCCAACTTCTACAAAATTGGGGTGGAATAGAAGTGGTGTTTTCTCCTCTAAGAATCAGGTTGTTTGACAATAGGGTGAAACTATTACCAAACTCGCTTTTCTGAGATCCAAAGATTTCAGCTGTAATGCATTTCTCATTTTGTTGTACTGTTTATGTGGCTCTAAGAAAAAGCAGGGAGACAATAAAGAAAAAAAAGATGTTACCAATGTAGAAAATTCCAGTATTGATCCACAAGTTTTATTTTTGATACACCTGTTATAAAAGCATTTGGACTTGAAGCTCTTATACATTCTGACGTAGAAAACACTATGCTAAATGGACTAGTGATGTGAAATTCTTAATAATACTTTTGGTTACTTCAAATTGTCACACATTGTTTTTGTATTTTCAGACATGGAAACATGTGTCAGTTGCCCAGCAGATCAGTATCCAAACAGCGGCCAGGATCTATGCATTCCTAAGATTCCAAACTTCCTAGCCTTTGATGAAACCTTGGCCATTGTTTCAACATCCTCTGTGCTTCTATTCTCTCTGATCACAATTCTAGTGCTAGGCATCTTCATTAAGCATCGCAATACAGCCATAGTCAAAGCCAACAACCGAAGCCTCACCTATGGTCTCCTTATCTCCCTCCTCTTGTGTTTCCTCTCTTCTTTGTTGTTTATCGGAAAACCTAATATGGTGACTTGCCTTCTCCGACAAACTGCTTTTGGCATTGTCTTCTCTGTGGCCCTCTCCAGCATCTTAGCCAAAACCATATTGGTGGTTTTGGCATTCATGGCTACCAAACCAGGATCCAATATGAGGAAATGGGTAGGCAAAGAACTGGCTTATTCCATTGTCTTTTCCTGCTCCATTGTCCAAGTAGGAATCTGTGTCCTCTGGCTGGCAACCTCTCCCCCATTCCCAGATGTGGACATGCACTCAATGCCTGAAGAAATCATATTTCTATGTAATGAAGGGTCAGTCTCCATGTTCTATTGTGTTTTGGGCTACATGGGCTTCCTGGCCACTATCAGCTTCACGGTGGCCTTCCTAGCCAGGAAGTTGCCTGACACTTTCAACGAAGCCAAGTTCATCACCTTCAGCATGCTGGTCTTCTGCAGTGTTTGGCTCTCCTTCATTCCAACCTACCTGAGCACCAGAGGAAAATACATGGTGGCTGTGGAGATCTTCTCCATCTTTGCTTCTGGTGCTGGGTTACTGGCTTGCATTTTCTCCCCTAAATGCTAGAGTAGTGTGGGGAGGCCAGACCTGAACAACAAAGAGCAGCTAACACAAAGAAAGGTATAAATGACAGTGGAATTTGTGGTTCTGTTGGGTCTTAGAATACATGGACTTGCTGGCTGGTATCACTTTCCGGGTCCCTGCTCTGGATAAGTGTAGAGTTTGCTTCTTAACTTTTTTGTCTGCCAAAGATTTTCCTAAGGCAATGGGTACAGATTTTTCCTCAGGTTCTACACCCAAAGCCTTTTTCACAAATGAGTAATGCTGTAAAGCAATTGAGGTTTAGGTTCAAAGTTTTCTTCTCCTAGGTGGGCTCCCTTCTTAGGTTTAAGAGACCCATCTGCCCCTCATTTCCCTCTACAGCACCTGCAGTAGCCACCTTTTTAAGCATTGGGCCCACTTTTGTTCTCATCTGCTATATCCTGTCTTTGCATGCAGAGAAATTCCCCAACTCACTGAAGATTTGAGGCCCATTGGCTGCCCTCACCTAATTTAGGCAGTCAGTTGAATCTGTTTTGTGGTATGTGGCTGCTGTTGCATGCTGACAACGTCTAGGAGCCACAGGGGAGAACTGAGTGCAGGGTGGGGATCTGAGGTAGACAAACTACCCCAGAAGGAGCACGACTTGTTCCCCACTAGAGTTACTACCCCTCCCTAACACTCCATACACCCCTGTCATGTATTACTGTATATTTAAAGCAAATGGAATCTTAATAGCAAAACTCTCAGCCTTTTCATTTAGAAATGGTTAATTTCAGTGGTTCAATGTTGTACATGTACTGTATGAATGATTGTTAATAAAAAGTCTCTTATCAATTACTTCGTGTAATCTGCAAATTCATCTTGAAGACAACACAGGGTACCAGAAACAAAAAACATTGTGAAATAGTTAAGGGCTCTGCATTCTTTATCTCTCACCTACAAGGCAGCTGAGGAAAAGAAGAAGGAGTAGTTTAAAACAGCCATTTCCCTTTTTTGAAAAAAAATAGTTTTAACAAAAAAAAGTAGCAGAGATATGCAACCATATCTGGAGGAAAACACACTGGATATTACTAACACTAATAGGACAAGCCTTTTGAAAGAGTGGTGGCAGAGAATATCTCAAATAAGCCAAATGGCTTCAGAGAATACAGATGTGTTGTTCCTAAAATTGATTCTAAAGTCCAGCTATTCTATGTCTGTTATAATAATTTTTATTAATTTTAAATTACCATTCAATAATAGCCTCATTAAAACAATACCAAATTGTAATAGTAATACTAATCACTTAAATACCGAATCAGATAATTTAGGTGCCCCCCCATTGCTAGATGATTTCCTTTATTTCTGCATTCCAAAATCTTATTAATTTCTATTATATTCTGGTGAAAATAATAATCCCTTATACAACAACTGCAATATTAATAACTTCTATTTGTGTTGACAAATTGAATGATTTATAGAACTACAAATGAGGCACTCAAACGATATCCTTGTTCTTCCAGTGTGTGGCAGTTATTCTGTCTGTGGTGTCTCTTCCAATCCTTGTAAAATGTTGTGCCTATTGTGACGGAAAAGTTGGTTCCACAAGTATTTCTTTTTACTTTTTTCTCCTGCCAGCAAATGCTTAAAGAACAGCAGCCTCTGATTGGCTGTGGTTCCAGGAGGGAGAGTTTAAAGGGAGCAGATTTCAAGGGAGATGGAGTTAGAGTGTGGTTAAGAGGGGGGTTGAGTTGAGGTGGTTGAGGAGGGAGGCTGGAGAGATTGTGAGTTAGGGAGATAGGATAGGAGTGTGGAGGAGGGAGAGTTGGTTCTGGAATAAAACATCCACTCTGAGTGTACAGTGAAGGACTGAGTGTATTGTCCTGCAGGAGTAAAAGGACCAAATCTTTCTGGGAGACTGAGGGTGAGGCAGGAGAAGGAGGATCTGAAATAGATGAGTCTGCTTAGGTCTCAAACTAATCTGGAGGGGAGAGACTTCTGAGGAAAGAAGAGACTTCCAAATCCCAGTGAAGGAAGGGGGGTGTGGAAAAGGGATAAACATCTATGTAGACTTGGTATGTTGCAACTGAAAGGGGGGGGTTCAGCCTTCTTTATTACTATATTTCATTTTGCTTTCTTATATGGCAAAATCCTCCTCTGAAAGAACCAACTCCCTGATTATTTATAGCAAGCGAGACTGGAGAGCTGGTGTATTTGGTGATATAATATGATTCTAATAGTCATTAACTGTGTGGAAATAACAATTATTCAAAAGTGGAAAACCAAGTTCAAAGTATTCGACTTCAGATATATTTGGAAGAGGATAAAGAGTTTCCCAATTTTGATTTGGAGAATGACTGGAGAGACGCCAAAAAAACTTAGGAAGTTTGCCGAGAATTAGAATCAGAATGCCGCAGCTCCAACTAAATGAGTGGCCATGATCGAAAGTAGATCAGCTTGTCAAATTAAATGCAGAGCCTTTTAATATCTTACTTAATATTTGCATTCCCAGTTTTATATGGCAAAACCTTCCCTGGACAGGTGAACCATTTTAAGGACAGCTGGTCTTAAAGCATTGGGCAGATGCCTTGCTTTCATAGAATCATAGAATCACAGAATCATAGAGTTGGAAGAGACCACCAGGGCCATCGAGTCCAACCCCCTGCCAAGCAGGAAACACCATCAGAGCACTCCTGACATATGGTTGTCAAGCCTCTGCTTAAAGACCTCCAAAGAAGGAGACTCCACCACACTCCTTGGCAGCAAATTCCACTGTCAGAACAGCTCTTACTGTCAGGAAGTTCTTCCTAATGTTTAGGTGGAATCTTCTTTCTTGTAGTTTGGATCCATTGCTCCGTGTCCGCTTCTCTGGAGCAGCAGAAAACAACCTTTCTCCCTCCTCTATGTGACATCCTTTTATATATTTGAACATGGCTATCATATCACCCCTTAACCTCCTCTTCTCCAGGCTAAACATGCCCAGCTCCCTTAGCCGTTCCTCATAAGGCATCGTTTCCAGGCCTTTGACCATTTTGGTTGCCCTCCTCTGGACACGTTCCAGTTTGTCAGTGTCCTTCTTGAATTGTGGTGCCCAGAACTGGACACAGTACTCCAGGTGAGGTCTGACCAGAGCAGAATACAGTGGCACTATTACTTCCCTTGATCTAGATGCTATACTCCTATTGATGCAGCCCAGAATTGCATTGGCCGCGTCACACTGTTGGCTCATGTCAAGTTTGTGGTCAACCAAGACTCCTAGATCCTTTTCACATGTACTGCTCTCAAGCCAGGTGTCACCCATCTTGTATTTGTGCCTGTCATTCCCCACCCCCCAAGTGCAATACTTTACATTTCTCCCTGTTAAAATTCATCTTGTTTGTTTTGGCCCAGTTCTCTAATCTGTCAAGGTCGTTTTGAAGTGTGATCCTGTCCTCTGGGGTGTTAGCCACCCCTCCCAGTTTGGTGTCATCTGCAAATTTGATCAGGATGCCCTTGAGTCCATTATCCAAGTCGTTGATAAAGATGTTGAATAAGACCGGGCCCAAGACAGAACCCTGTGGCACCCCACTAGTCACTCTTCTCCAGGATGAAGAGGAACCATTGATGAGCACCCTTTGGGTTCGGTCAGTCAGCCAGTTACAAATATTTTGATATTATCTTTGATATTATCTGGACTGACTTGGCTGCTGCCCGAGATGAGAAGATTTTTGGACTGGCTTGGTGGAAACATCATTTTGTGAAGAGACACCGTGAACATACAGAGAGAACTCGGGATGTAAATTCCACACAAAATATATTGTTTTGTTTTCCATTGCTTGTTCAGAGGCTGTGAAATGTAATGAGGATTAACATCAGAATGATTTATGGGAACTATCATGAAAATTATGAAAGCAGCAGAAGTATGAGATGATCAGAACCACCCCCGACCTCAGAACATGGGAAGATATCTTCAATTTTTTTTATATAATTTGGCATAATATTTGGAATAATATGTCTAATATTTGAATAATATGTAAAATTTGGAATATTTAATATGATTTGATTGGATTGTTAAAGTGGAAAATTTAATAAATAGTATTTTTTTTAAAAAAAAGAATAATAGGGGACCATTTATCATGGCTCATGTTAATATACTAAGTGGATGATGAAGCAAAACTCCAAGGTGGAAGTGGAGTGATAGAAATTGTTGATCATGTACTTTTGATCTGTAACCTTTGTAATGATTGTAGGGAGCGGTTGATTCTCTATCTACTAAGAACTCTCTCAGGAAGATTTCCTGGGAAATCCTGAAGATCTGCATTAGATTGTGTATACTATTCATCTCTGAGCACAAAACCAAATCATATAAAATATCAGTAAAATACAAAATACTGTACCAGCACTATTTAAAACAACTAAAATGAAATACAACAATGTAGCAGAATAGCACAATGTTGACACCACTATATAACGCTCTGAAGTGACAGATGCCAAATGCCAGAACAAAGCAAGAAAACACTTTTTCAATTAACCTCTGAAAGTGAACAATGTTGATTAAAATCATACTTTGGGAAAGGACTATCTTGATTTTTAAGGGCAGGAACATTTTTAGTTAATGTGTTCTCAGCTATTTTTGCCTATGAATCCAATGCCAATGTCATATACTGAGTACCTCACAGGAAGCCAGTGCAGTGCTTTCAGGATTGATGAATATGAACCAGTCTAGCTGCCTGCTTTACATAAAAGGTAAAGGAATCCCTGACCATCAGGTCCAGTCATGACTGACTCTGGGGTTGCGGTGCTCATCTCGCTTTATTGGCCAAGGGAGCCGATGTATAGCTTCCGGGTCATGTGGCCAGCATGACTAAGCTTCTTCTGGCAAACCAGAGCAGCGAATTGAAACGCCGTTTACCTTCCTGTCGGAGCGGTTCCTATTTATCTACTTGCACTTTGACAACCTTTCGAACTGCTAGGTTGGCAGGAGCAGGGACCGAGCAACGGGAACTTACCCCGTCACGGGGATTCAAACCGCCGACCTTCTGATCGGCAAGTCCTAGGCTCTGTGGTTTAACCCACAGCACCACCCCGCGTCCCATGCCTCCTTTACATACCTGGCAGCTTTACAGCAATATTCTATTACATCTATTACACACAAATGGTCCATGTTACACACATTGTTGGATATGCATATTATACCCCTTTTACTTTGTTCATTCTCCCACTCCATATTTATGAATCAGTAGATTCCTAATGCAAGGACAGCATGAAATCTCTGTTTTTCAAAATCCAAATTCTACCTGTGGAATCTTGAAAAGACCTAAGACGTTTGCCATGCACCAGGAGGTATCAGAGCTGAGTCCCCCAATGACTCCTATGACATTTTTCTGGATGCCACACCTGTAGTTGGGAACAAAGTGATGTGATTTAAAGAGCAGGTCCAGAGTGTTTCGGTAGGTCATCATTGAATCATAATAGCTAACATAGATGTGGAAGCCGAGAGAGACATTGGGCAACATCCTGGGATTCTTGTTGATCTCATCAACAGCAAACACCAAGGCCAGGATTTGCTGGTAAAACTTTGTCACCACCCTGCAGATGAAATAAGAGTGGGGAAATTAATCATAATCTAGGTATGAGAGACTCACCTGCCTGCCTATCGAAAGAAAGGACAAAGCCCGCAAAGTTTATTTACTTAATAGGCAGTCTCATAATACTGTGTCATTATGAAGCTCGTGAACGTAAGCAGGTACTCGCTTGGCATTAATAAGGATCAGGCAGACTCAGCAATGGAGAATAAGAAGGTGAAGTTTATTGCCAGGCAATAAGGACCCAGTTTGGAATCTCTTCCAAAAGGAACTGGGACCCCGATTGACAGAAATCCAGAGGTCTTTATACCTGAGCAGATCACAGCAAATCATAGATCATGAGACAACCATGAGGCAGTCACGATGTTGCCAGCGAAAATTAGCCAATTAGCAAGCTTCTTGCCATGCTTCCAGCTCCTGTTCAAGCACTGGTCAAGCACGGAGTACTAGTTCTGCTTTCCGCTGCTTGCAGTGACGCTCTGTCTAACCTCTCCCCTAGTTATGACAGGACAGGGAGTATTGGAGATTTTGTGGTTTAGCTCTTCCTGTTCTGTGGATTAATTTAGCCTGTATCTGAGGGGATTTTGTACCAGTATCTCTGATTCACTCCTTCCCCTTGTTCAGGGTACACGGATGTTTGTAGGGGAAAGGTCGGCTCCTAATTTTGCTGTTTCAAGCAGTATGCAGATAGCTAAGGCACAGCTTCCCTTTGATTCAAAATGGATTATAAAAATACTGTAAGCCCTGATTATGTGTGAGCATATATGAATATATTGATTACTGATAACTGATTATATGAATTGCATAAGGGTAGCCCTTCTTCCTTGCCTCAATTAAAAAAGCCGTTGCACATTTCTTTGATATCTTCAGCAACCCGTGTTTGTTTTCACCAGCTTGAAAATTTGGGTATCATCAACAAAGTTGAGTACAACACTTTTGGCTATATGTTTCTCCTAGGTTTTCATGCCTTTTCTCTTTCTCCTACTCTCTTTTCCATCTGTCAACATTGTCAACACCCTGCAAATGAAGTGAGATTTTGTTTGATGGGGAAATTAAACAGTGCTCAGAATCTAGATAGGAGAGATTTACCTGCCTGCCTATAAAGAGAGGATGAAGCCAGCAAAGTTTATGTACTTATTTGGGCAATCTAAGAATACTGTGTTTGTTTTCAGTACCTTGAAAATTTGGGTATCATCAAAAAAATTCAGTACCGTTCCTATTTTTTTATTCCATCTCTTTTCTCTTTCTCCTACTCTCTTTTCTATCTCTCTTTACACAATTAGAATCAAAAAAGCTTATAGTTCATTGAGAGTATGAACACAGCCTATATGCACAGAGATTTCTAATAAAATCTCATGACACATTTAAAAAATAAAGTTCTAAAGCTATCCCCCCCAATCAATCATATCAGGAATAATTAAAATAATATTAATTAACGGTTACTTACAGTGGGGCATCAATGAAGTCCTGGGAAGGGTGTTTCTTGAAGGATAATTTGGGGACTATGTAATAAATATGAGATGCCATTGCACCAATGACCAGGTCTCCTGGCTCATACCACTCGTGTGGAACATGAACAGGATGATTTGTTGCGCATTGAGCACTTTGTCCTTGGGACACTATATTGGGGAGCAGCAGAAGCAGCAGGAGCAACATCCTGATGGCAAATACACTTGTCTGCATGGACTCCCCTGCTTCTCTCACCAGTATTATTTCTCTCCTCCACCTGATCTGAACAAGACAAATTGGGTGGCAGCTGACTCTGTCAATCTGATACTTTAAGGGACACGTATCCCCTTATTCTTAGCTTGAACGTTCTCACAACAGAATGCCTTGGATACCAAATAAGATGCAGTGGTTTGATATGAAAAAGGGAAACTGATAACTGATAAGTAACAGAGCCCAGCCTTGTTGTCTATGGAGCACAGAGGAGCTTATAATCATTTCAGGCTTGCTTGTTGATTCTTTTTTTCCACTGTGACATCTGGAGGTTCAGTCAGGTGGATTGATTACTGTAATTTGAATAATGATAGGGGAGAGAATCAGTTGTGCAGTGTTTTTGGGTTCTATGGCGCATCAGCAGTAGCGGAACTGCCAAAATATTACTATTATTATTTTTTAAATATATATTTTTATTGATTTCCCAATATTGTTCCAATAGCGACCTCATTATAACAATACCAATTTTATCTAATTAATGCAATTATGAATGCCAATTATTCAAATGTCAATTATATGATTTAATTAAACGTTTCCCTTTGCATGCGAAATTTGATGGCTTCATTCTTCTTCATTATTTCTGTGTTCCACTATGTTAATAATTTCCATTGCATTCCATGCACATATAATAATCTCTTATATAACGGCTACAGTCTTGTGATTTCTATTTGTATTAGGTAATTTATAAACTTTCAAGTGAGGAACTTTAAGTGTAGTCCTTATTCTTTCCTGCGTGTGACAATTTCCCCTCATGATGTTTTCCCACCCATATATGGTGCTGTATCCTTCATGCCTGCAACTGTTGATGGTTCCCATCATGCCCTGGGAGAAGGGTTATCCCACAGTTTCCAAAAGTCACTGGATCGCTTTGTCCTGTGATTCGGCTTCCAGTAAAAAAGCAGTGTTCACCATTTTTTCCAGCCTAGGAGGAACAGTCTGAATCCAGACTGCAGATACTGAATCCAAAAGGATTTATTACTGCAGCTAGTAGACAGGAAGCCGGATCTGCCAATGTAATTATATTTGTAACATCACAAAATCATAAGCAAGGAATGAACCTACAAGGTCAGCAGGATGTCTAGAGCTGAGCTGGCTCCATCCTTTCCCCGCTTCCTAATTTGTTAGTACTGTGGTATCCATCACTCTCCCACCTATGTAACACTGATCAGACATGGTTTGCCATCATATTAACTGAATGGTGGCAGCAATTCTGAATAGCATCCTTGACTTATCAAGAAGTGGGGACACTGGATTACAGCATCAATAGACCAATGGGATATCGGATCCACACAAAGCATGATGGAGAACAGCAACAACTTGGAAAAGATGGATGCGACAAACTTGGCACCTCATTTACCACTCAAGTCCATGTGTGCACTCTCTCTTAAATATATTGCTCCCACCTCACTCAACAACCTTTGACCCGAAGGCTTAAAAACAAAACCTCACTATACCAGGGGGATCTTTGTGAGGGATACCAGGGGGATCTTTGTGAGGGTGATAACCAAGAATTTGGAGTCTCTGGGGCCGCTAGGGGTGCATTGGAAGATGGCCGGCAATACCATCTCTCCGGCTCACACGAGGAAATTAAGAGGCTGATATGGGAGTACGCAGCCTCCCTTGTTACCCCAGGGAATGGGGGGACACTGCCTTCGCCTGTGGTGCCAATAAATCACCCCCGGGTTCAAAAGATGCAGGGGGTGATTCCATCCGCCAAGCCAGTCCAAAAATCTTCTCCTCTCGGGCAGCAGCCAAGTCAGTCCAGATAAAATCAAAGCAAGGCATCTGCCCAATGCTTTTAAGACCAGGTGTCCTTCAAATGGTTAACCTGTCCAGGGAAGGTTTTGCCATATAAAAGTGGGAATGCAAATATTAAGTAAGATATTAAAAGGCACCTATCCCCTAAGGCTCTGCATTTCATCTGACAAGTGGATCTACTTTCGGTCTTGGCCGCTCGTTTAATTGGCGCTGCATCATTCCGATTCTAATTCTAGGCAAACTTCCTAAGTGTTTTTGGCATCTCTCCAGTCATTCTCCAAATCAAAGTTGGGAAACTCTTTATCTTCTTCCAAATATATCTGCAGCCGAATACTTTGAACTTGGTTTTCCACTTTTGAATAATTGTTATTTCCACACAGTTAATGACTATTAGAATCATATTATATCACCAAATACACCAGCTCTCCAGTCTCGCTTGCTATAAATAATCAGGCAGTTGGTTCTTTCAGAGGAGGATTTTGCCATGTAGCATAGCAAAACTAAATGTAATTAAAAAGGAGGCTGAACCCCCCCCCTTTCAGTTCCAACATACCAAGTCTACATAGATGTTAATACTTCTTCCATTCAAATCCTTTTTAGCACCTCAGTGGCTGAATTAATTAGCAGAGTAGTTTCTCCCCCTTTGCTCAGATCATGTCCAAAACCTAAATCCAATTTTTCATCTTAATAATTGGAAGTTTGCTGCTAAATGGAGGCGACTTTGGAGAGTTGCCAAGAAACGTTCCGGGCTTTCTATCCAGCCATCCCCAGCCCCTCCTTCTGAATTTGGGGCCAGGTTTTGGGCAATCTGCGGATGACCTGCCACTCCCCAGCCTGAGGAGTGTAGGGTGGTTGATTACTGTACTCCCATCTCAGCCTGTGATTCCGGAACGTACGGCAGTGATGGAATTCAGCAATCCTCCATCGCAGCTAGCCGAAAGCTCCTCTCCCAAATGCTCCCCTATTCTTGGATACAATCAATATGTACAAGAATGAAGCTGTAATGGTGCCATAATAATAATAAATATCAACAGAAAACATTGAGCAAGCATATCTGTGCTTTCCAATATAATCTGGGGTTGGTGCTGTCTCTAAACTTTGTAAACTTGGGATATAGATTCAATATATATTCAATATTTAAGTGTGTGTGCGTGCATGTGTTTATATTTGAATAAACTGGAATATCATGAGTTCTTGTTTCCACTTGGAAACATTTGGCTTTTGCTTTTTCCAGATTTCATATGGTTCATTTGAACCAGCTACAAATTATGGAACCAAGTTCCCTTCCTTTTACCGCATGGTTCCCAATGAAGACCTTCAGTATCAGGGAATTATCCAGTTACTTCTGCATTTCAGATGGAAATGGGTTGGGCTCATCACTCCAGCTAATGAAGCTGGGGAACGTTTCTTACAGACAATTGAGCCAATGCTTTTCAAGAATGGAATCTGTTCGGCATTCACAGAAAGCTTTAAACCCAATATACATTATAACAGTAACTTACTAGAAATGCTGGAGGACTCAAGGATTTTGTTACCAACTTTCACAACCAGCAGAGCTAATGCAATTCTTCTATATGGAGAAAGTAGATCTAGTATATGGTTGTCAAGTGCTTTAAGCATGATGGAGTTTACTCAGCTACTATATCCTCAAAAGAAGTCACATGAAGGAAAAGTATGGATTACAACTACCCAAATTGATTTCATATTATATAGCCTTCAAAAAAAAATTAATGTTAAAATACGAATGCTCCATGGTGCAATATCCTTTGCAATTCACTCCAAGGAGATTCACAGCTTTCAAGACTTTCTTCAGAGTGTATACCCTCATTGGAAAGAGACAGATGGTTTTATCCAAGATTTCTGGGAAGATGCATTCAGTTGTTCACTTCCAAATTCCACTCTCTCAGCAACCATGTGTACTGGAGAGGAGATGCTGGAGAGCCTTCCTGCACCATTTTTTGAAATGAGCATGACTGGCCACAGCTACAGTGTTTATAATGCTGTCTATGCTTTGGCACATGCCTTACATAGCATGCACTTGGCTGCAGTCATCTGCAAATGGAGAGGTGCTAGGGGAAGTCTCTCTCCTCAATATGTAGAACCTTGGCAGGTATTGTTCTCTGTTACAAAGCATTCACTGCATTGGTACATTATGATAGTTGGCATTTAATCATCAGTAAAGAAATAAAAGAATAAAACTTAAGAAATTAAAGATGAACCTTAAGTAAATTTATTGTATGAAAGATGGGAATTAGAATATTTCCTATAATGATACTAAACAGACTTTAGATGACACAGACTTTCAGAAGCAACAGACTACAAACAATTACCTCCTTCATGCTGCAAACCCCTCCGTTTTCTCCAAATATCCCTCCCCACTTCTCTCTGTCTCTCTTACCTGTCCAGTTACCCAGTGGTGTAAGATTGGGGGCCCCGGGCGCATAATTCTGAGCAAGTACAACCAGGACCCCAACCCTAGGCACCATAGGCACTAGCTTTTGCAGGTATCTTCATATCCAAAAGAAAACAGAAGAGCAGCCCATCAGGGAGCTGCCACTGCCTGAACACATCCTGGAAGGCCCCATCCCCAACTCCTCATCTTTCCCTGTCTGTCAACCACCAGGGGTTTCTGGGCCCTGAAGCCTTGCTGGCTGACCCCCAGAAGAGGCTAGCAATTGTGTGATCACCATCTCAAGACCCTACCCAATTCTCTCTGTCTCTCTTACCTGTCCAGTTACCCAGTGGTGTAAGATTGGGGGCCCCGGGCGCATAATTCTGAGCAAGTACAACCAGGACCCCAACCCCAGGCACTAGCTTTTGCAGGGATCTTCATATCCAAAAGAAAACAGAAGAGCAGACCATCAGGGAGCTGCCACTGCCTGTGTTGAATGGTTTCTTTAAATGTAAAGGTTCATCATTGTTCCACCCGATGTGTATGTCTTTAAGGGGCCAGAGCAAGGGCCAGAGCAAAATAATGAGACCCAGCTTTACAGCTGTGAAACATAGCAGGTGCTGCTGAGTTGTATTGATTAAGCTGTGTCAGCGATTGGGTGTAGTATATAAGGAGCAGCACCTAGCTCTCCCATTATCCTGGGGGATGGGTTGGGTCTGGTTTGTTGTTGATGTATTTAGTGTATAAGGAGTTTTTGTTTTTGTAATTAAAACCTTGTTTAAGTTATTTTTGAGTCCCTTTTTAATGCATGGTCTCCCCAGCAAGCTCTCTGCAGCGCTACCATACTGCAAATAGCCAACAGCCTGAACACGTCCTGGAAGGCCCCATCCCCAACTCCTCATCTTTCCCTGTCTGTCAACCACCAGGGGTTTCTGGGCCCTGAAGCCTTGCTGGCTGATCCCCAGAAGAGGCTAGCAATTGTGTGATCACCATCTCAAGACCCTCCCCAATTCTCTCTGTCTCTCTTACCTGTCCAGTTACCCAGTGGTGTAAGGTTGGGGGCCTGTGGCCCATTGGCCCTGGACACATAATTCTAAGGGAGAACAACCAGGACCCCAACACCAGGCACTGGCTATTGCAGGGATCCTCATATCCAAGAGAAAACAGAAGAGCAGCCCATCAGGGAGCTGCCACTACCTGGGCACATCTTGGAAGGCCCTGTCCCCAGCTCCTCATCTTTCCCTGTCTGCCAATCACCAGGGGTTTCTGGCCTCACTGGTAGGTCCCCAGAAGAGGCTAGCAACTGTTTGATCACTGTCTCTAGACCCTGCGTTTCTCCCTTCTCCTCTTCTGCCTTTGAGTCTGGATTTCAGTCTGCCACAGCCTCTTCCTGCTCCCTTAACCCTGTTGCCTTTTCTGCATCTGACACCTCTTCCTCCTAGTCTGCTCCCTCTTCTGCCACTGACCACTCCTTGTCATCCCACCACCAATCCCCTGCCTCTGAGCCTCCTTTCCTTGGGGCATCCCTTTCGGGTTCTCCAGCTGTTGCTTCCTACCACTCCTCTGCATCCAACATCCAACCATGCTCAAATCCACTCTATAAACTATGGAAAGGTCCAGTCCGATGTTCTCATGTTGCATTCCTATCATTTGAGGACATAAGCTCCCATCTCTTCTCTTACATGACTTCTCAAATTCCATCCCTTTCTTGGATACAGACAAAGGCTGGTCTCAGGCAAGCAGGACTATGGTCTCTCCATCCTGATGCAAGTCTGTTGAATGTTGAATTGGCACTGATTCATGATTTCCTACTCCTCCTGTATGTGCAACTAAAATATGGATGTTCTTCGTTGTGAACTGAATTGTTTAACTTTGATTCTCTTTCCACTTAGCTCCACTCATTCCTGCAGAGAATCTCATTCAACAACAGTGCTGGAGATGAAATTACATTAAATGAATATGGAGAGTTAGCAGCTGGCTTTGATATTACCAACTTGGTCACTTTCCCAAATAATTCCTATGTCAGAATCAAAGTGGGCAGGTTGGATCCTCAGGCCCCTCCAGGTAAAGAGCTCACCATTAATGAAGACAGAATCAAATGGAACAGACGCTTCACTAAGGTATGGGAATACTGATATCTTCTTAAGTTTGTATGATACAGAGAACAGCAGCTTTTTACCCCACTGTATGTGCCACTTGTGTACCTACGGATCATTTCACGCTATTAGTCCTCCTATTTACTATTACATCACCTGATAGTGGATATTTGATAAATTCCCCAAAACAATATCATAATATTAAACTCTTCCTATCTATTTGGATAGGTGCCACCGCTTTCTGTATGTAATGCCAACTGCCATCCTGGTTACGGGAAGAAAAAGAAGGAGGGGGAGAAGTTTTGCTGCTATGATTGTGATCCATGTCCAGAAGGAATGATTTCAAATGAGAAAGGTTAGAGATGACATCTTAAGATACTGCAGAACCTCTGGGCTCCTGGCAATTTTGTTGACATTAAACTGCTGCAGGAGAAAAGGCTTAAATTAACAGATGTGTTCTTCTCACAGTTTATAGATAACATCAATATATTTTAATCTTTAAAGCATCTTGAAGATTTCTTTTTTAAGTGGAAGCTAATATATTTTTCCTCCATCGTCTACAAAATTAGGGTGGAATAGAAGTGGTGTTTTCTCCTCTAAGAATTAGGTGGTTTGACAATAGGGTGAAACTCTTATCAAACTCACTTTTCTGAGATCCAAAGATTTCAGCTGTAATGCATTTCTCATTTTGTTGTACTGTTTATGTGGCTCTAAGAAAAAGCAGGGAGACAATAAAGAAAAAAAAGATGTTACCCATGTAGAAAATTCCAGAATTGATACACAACTTTTATTTTAGATACACCTAGTACAAAAGCATTTGGACTTGAAGCTCGTATACATTCTGACGTAGAAAACACTATGCTAAATGGACTAGTGATGTGAAATTCTTAATAATACTTTTGGTTGCTTCAAATTGTCACGCACTGTTTGTGTATTTTCAGACATGGATACATGTGTCAGTTGCCCAGCAGATCAGTATCCAAACAGCGGCCAGGATCTATGCATTCCTAAGACTCCAAACTTCCTAGCCTTTGATGAAACCTTGGCCATTGTTTCATCTTCCTCTGCACTTTTATTCGCTCTAATCACATTTCTGGTGCTCAGCATCTTCATTAAGCATCGCAATACAGCCATAGTCAAAGCCAACAACCGAAGCCTCACCTATGGTCTCCTTATCTCCCTCCTCTTGTGTTTCCTCTCTTCTTTGCTGTTTATCGGAAAACCTAATATGGTGACTTGCCTTCTCCGACAAACTGCTTTTGGCATTGTCTTCTCTGTGGCCCTCTCCAGCATCTTAGCCAAAACCATATTGGTGGTTTTGGCATTCATGGCTACCAAACCAGGATCCAATATGAGGAAATGGGTAGGCAAAGAACTGGCTTATTCCATTGTCTTTTCCTGCTCCATTGTTCAAGTAGGGATCTGTGTCCTCTGGCTGGCAACCTCTCCCCCATTCCCAGATGTGGACATGCACTCAATGCCTGAAGAAATCATATTTCTATGTAATGAAGGGTCAGTCTCCATGTTCTATTGTGTTTTGGGCTACATGGGATTCCTGGCCACTTTCAGCTTCACGGTGGCCTTCTTAGCCAGGAAGTTGCCTGACAGCTTCAATGAAGCCAAGTTCATCACCTTCAGCATGCTGGTCTTCTGCAGTGTTTGGCTCTCCTTCATTCCAACCTATCTGAGCACCAGAGGAAAATACATGGTGGCTGTGGAGATCTTCTCCATCTTTGGTTCTGGTGCTGGGTTACTGGCTTGCATTTTTTCCCCTAAATGCTACATTATTGTGGTGAGGCCTGACCTGAACAACAAAGAGCAGCTAACACAAAGAAAGGTATAAATGACAGTGGAATTTGTGGTTCTGTTGAGTCTTATGGACTTGGTGGCGGGTATCACTTTCCGAGTTCTTGCTCTGGATCTTTGTAGAGTTTGCTCCTTAACTGTTTTGTCTGCCAAAGATGTCCCAAAGGCAATGGGTTCAGATTTTTCCTCAGGTTCTAGTCCCAAAGCCTTTTTCACAAATGAGTAATGCTGTAAAGCAGTGGAGGTTTAGGTTCAAAATTTCCATCTCCTAGGTGGGCTCCCTTCCTAGGTTTACGAGACCCATCTGCCCCTCATTTCCCTCTACAGCACCTGCAGTAGCCACCTTTTTAAGCATTGGGCCCACTTTTGCTCTTATCTGCTATGTCCTGTCTTTGCATGCAGAGAAATTCCCTAACAGACTGAGGATTTGAGGCCCATTGGCTGCCCTCACCTGGTTTAGGGAGCCAGCCAGTTGTATCTGATTCATGGGATGTGGCTGCTGTTGCAAGCTGACAATTTCTAGGAGCCACAGGTGAGAACTGAGTGAAGGGGTGGGGATCAGAGGTAGACAAACTACCCCAGAAGGAGCATGACTTGGTCCCCACTAGAGTTACTACCCCTCCCTAACACTCCATACACCCCTGTCATGTATTAAAGGTAAAGGGACCCCTGACCATTAGGTCCAGTCATGACCGACTCTGCGGTTGCGGCGCTCATCTTGCTTTACTGGCCGAGGGAGCTGGCGTACAGCTTCCGGGTCATGTTGCCAGCATGACTAACCGCTTCTGGCAAACCAGAGCAGTGCACGGAAACGGCGTTTACCTTTCCGCCGGAGCGATACCTATTTATATACTTGCACTTTGACGTGCTTTCGAACTGCTAGGGTGGCAGGAGCAGGGACCGAGCAATGGGAGCTCACCCCGTCGCGGGGATTCGAACCGCCGACCTTCCGATCAACAAGCCCTAGACTCTGTGGTTTAACCCACAGCGCCACCTGCGTCCCTTAAACATTGCTGCCTCTCCCCGTCAGGGAATTGAACCCCGGTCTCCCGCGTGACAGGCGGGGATACTTACCACTATACTAACCTGTCATGTCTTACTGTATATTTAAAGCAAATGGAATCTTAATAGCAAAACTCTCAGCCTTTTCGTTTAGAAATGGTTAAGTTCAGTTGATCAACGTTCTACATGTACTGTATAAATGATTGTTAATAAAAAGTCTCTTATCAATTACTTCATGGTATCTACAAATTCATCTTGAAGACAAAAAAAGCGTACCAGAAACAAAAAACATTGTGAAATAGTTAAGGGCTCTACATTCTTTATCTCTAACACACAAGGCAGCTGAGGAATAGACGAAGGAGAAGTTTAAAACAGCCAGTTCCCTTGTTTTTTTAAATAGTTTTAAGAAAGAAAAGGAGCAGAGATATGCAACAATACCTGGAGGAAAACACATTGGATATTACTAACACTAATAGGACAAACCTTTTATTTCTGAAATATACTTCTAACCAGTTTGAAAGAGAGGCGGCAGAGAATATCTCAAGTAAGCCCATTTTTAAGAATACAGATGTGTTGTTTCTAAAGTTGATTCTAAAGTCTATTTCTGTTATAATAATTTTTATTCATTTTCAATTACCATCCAATAATAGCATCAGTAAAACAATATCAAATTGTAATACTAATACTAAGCACTCAAATACTGAATCATATAATTTAGGTGCCCCTCCCCACATGCTAGATGATTTCCTTTATTTCTGCATTCCAAAATCTTATTAATTTCTATTATATTCCAGTCAAAATAATAATCCCTTATACAACAACTGCAATATTAATATTTTCTCTTTGTATTGACACATTGATTCATAGAACTGCAAATGAGGCACTCAAACTACATCCTTGTTCTTCCAATGTGTAGCAGATATGCTGTCCATAGTGTTTCTTCCAGTCCTTCTAAAATGTTGTGTCTATTGTGACAGAAATGTTAGTTCCACAAGTATTTCTTTTTACTTTTTTCTCCTGCCAGCAAATGGATAAATAACAGCTGCCTCTGACTGGCTGTGGTTCCAGGAGGGAGAGTTTAAAAGGAGCCGATTTCAAGGGAGATGGGGTTAGACTGTGGTTAAGAGTGGGGTTGAGTTGAGGTGGTTGAGGAGGGAGGTTGGGAGTTAGGTAGGGAAATAGGATAGGAGTGTGGAGGAGGGAGAGTTGGTTCTGGAATAAAACATCCACTCCGAGTGTACAGTGAAGGACTGAGTGTATTGTCCTGCAGGAGAAATAGAACCAAATTTTGCTGGGAGACTGAGGGTGAGACAGGAGAAGGAGGAGCTGAAAGAGATGAGTCTACTTAGGTCTCCAACTAATCTGGAGGGGAGAGACTCTTCTGAGGAAAGAAGAGACTTCCAAATCCCAGTGAAGGAAGGGGGTGAGCCCTTAAGACTCTTACTGAAAGTACCTCAGGAGCTGCATTTGTTAAAGGGGTGGGTAAATGAAGGAAAGTACCGCCTTAGAAAGGAACCGAACTATAAAGCCCAAACCTCAGAAACTGAATTGAAGTGAACTAGCATATTATTATTGCTGAAGTAACCTAAGTTTCTCGACTTATATTATACTACCTTGCTTTAAAAAATAAATCGTTATTGTTTATTTAAAGAACACCTGCTTGAGACTCCAACTTTTTGGTTATCCCCCTCACAAAGATCCCCCACAGGATATGCTGGGATTGTTAGGGGGTTTTTTTTAAGCCTTCGGGTAAAAAGTTGTTCGGTGTAGTGGGAGCAATATATTAAAGTGAGAGCAGGCACATGGACGTGAGCAGTAACTGAGGCGCCAAGCTTGGCGCATCCATCTTTTCCAAGTTCTTGCTGTTCTCCATCATGCCTTGTGTGCATCTGATATCCCATTGATGCTATAATCCAGTGCCCCCACTTCTTGATAAGGCAAGGATGCTATCCAGAACTGCTGCCACCATTCAGTTAATGTGATGGCAAACCATGTCTGATCAGTGTTACATAGGTGGGAGAGTGAAGGATGCCCCAGTACTAACAAATTTGGAAGTAGGGAAAGGATGGGGCCATTTCAACTCAATCCTGCTGACCTTGTAGGTTCATTCCTTGCCTATGATTTTGTGATATATAATTACATTGGCAGATCCAGCTTCCTGTCTACCAGCTGCAGTAATAGATGCTTTTGGATTCACTATCTGCGGTCTGGATTCAGAGCGTTCCTCCTAGGCTGGAAAAAAAACGGTGAACACAGCTTTTTTACTGGAAGCCGAATCACAGGCCAAAGCGATGCAGTGACTTTTGGAAACTGTGGGATAACTGCTTCTCCCAGGGCATGATGGGAAATATCATCAGTTGCAGGAATGAAGGATCCAGCACCATATATGGACGGGAAAACATCATGGGGGGAAATTGTCACACGCAGGAAGAAATAAGGATTAAACTTAGAGTTCCTCAATTGAAACTTTATAAATTACCTAATATACCAACACAAATAGAAATCAGAAGACTGTAGCTGTTATCTAACAGATTGCTATATGTACATGGAATGCAATGGAAATTATTAACATAGTGGAACACAGAAATAATGAAGAAGAATGAAGCCATCAAATCTAGCACCAAGGGGAAACGTTTAATTAAATCATATAATTGACATTTGAAGAATTGGCATTCATAATTGCATTAATTAGATAAAATTGGTATTGTTATATTGAGGTCGCTATCGGAACAATATTGGTAAATCAATAAAAATATATATTTAAAAATTAATAATAGTTATATTTTGGCAGTTCCCCTACTGCTGATGCGCCATAGAATCCAAAAACACTGCACAAGTGATTCTCTCCCCTATCATTACTCAAATTACAATAATCAATCCACCTGACTGAACCGCCAAATGCCACAGTGTAAAAAAAGAATCAACAAGCAAGCCTGAAATGATTATAAGCTCCTCTGTGCTCCATAGACAACTAAGCAGGGCTCTGTTACTTATCAGTTATCAGTTTCCCTCTTTCATATCAAACCACTGCATCTTATTTGGTATCCAAGGCATTCTGTTGTGAGAATGTTCAAGCTAACAATAAGGTGGATTCATGTCCCTTAAAGACCCAAATTGACAGAGTCAGCTGCCACCCAATTTGTCTTGTTCATATCAGGTGGAGGAGAGGAATAATACTGTCGAGAGAAGCAGGGGAGTCCATGCACACAAGGGTATTTGCCATCAGGATGTTCCTCCTGCTGCTTCTGCTGCTCCCCAATATAGTGTCCCAAGGACAAAGTGCTAAATGCACAACTAATAATCCTGTTCATGTTCCACACGAGTGGTATGAGCCAGGTGACCTGGTCATTGGTGCAATGGCATCTCATATCTGTTACATACACCCCAAATTATCCTTCAAGAAACACCCTTCCCAGGACTTCATGGATGCCCCAATGTAAGTAACTGTTAATTAATATTATTTTAATTATTCTTTAATTATGCTATATCTGACAGAAAATTACTTTGATTGATTGCTATAGAACTTTATTTTTTAAATGTGTGGAGAGATTTTATTAGGAATCTGTACATATAGGCTATGTGAATATTGTCGATGAACAATAAGCTTTTTTGAGTCTAATTGTGTAAAGAGAGAGAGAAAAGAGAGTAGGAGAAAGAGAAAAGAGATGGCATAAAAAAATAGGAAAAGTATATCGCAAAGTAGTATGCTACTGAAGTTTTTGATGATACCTAAATTTTCAAAGTGGCAAAACAAACATGGGTTGCTGAAGAGATGAAGAAATATGCAACAGCTTTTAAAATTACACAGTATTCTTAGATTGCCCAAATAAGTAAATAAACTTTGCTGCCTTCATCCTCTCTTTATAGGCAGGCAGGTGAATCTCTCCTATCTAGATTCTGTGCACTGTTTAATTTTCCCATTAAACAAAATCTCACTTCATTTGCAGGGTGTTGACAAAGTTCTACCAGCAAATCCTGGCCTTGGTGTTTGCTGTTGATGAGATCAACAAGAATCCCAGGATGTTGCCCAATGTCTCTCTCGGCTTCCACATCTATGATAGCTATTATGATTCAAAGATGACCTACCAAAACACTCTGGACCTGCTCTTTAAATCACATCACTTTGTTCCCAACTACAGGTGTGGCATCCAGAAAAATGTCATAGGAGTCATTGGGGGACTCAGCTCTGATACCTCCTGGTGCATGGCAAACGTCTTAGGTCCTTTCAAGATTCCACAGGTAGAATATGGATTTTGAAAAACAGAGATTTCACGCTTTCCTTGCATTAGGAATCTACTGATTCATAAATATGGAGTGGGGAAATAGACAAAGTAAAAGGGCCATAATATGCATAACCAACAATGTGTGTAAGAAGGGCAATTTGTGTTTAATAGATGTAATAGAAGATTTCTCTAAAGCTGCGAGGTTTGTAAAGGAGGCACCTAGACTGGTTCATATACAACAATCCAGAAAGAACTGCACTGGCTTCCTGTGAGCTACTGAACATATGACATTGACATTGGTTTCATAGGCAAAAATAGCTGAGAACACATTAACTAAAAATGTTCCTCCCCTTAAAAATCAAGACAGTCCTTTCCCAAAGTATGGTGTTAATCAACATTGTTCATTTTCAGAGGCTAATTGAAAAAGTGTTTTCTTGCTTTGTTCTGGCATTTGTCATCTGTCACTTCAGAGCCTTATATAGTGGTGTCAGCATTGTGCTATTCTGCTGCATTGTTGTATTTCATTTTAGTTGTTTTGAATAATTGTTATTTCCACAAAATTAATGACTATTAAGGTAAAGGCAAAGGGACCCCCGACTCTGGGGTTGCGGTGCTCATCTCGCTTTATTGTCTGAGGGAGTGACTAAGCCACTTCTGGCGAACCAGAGCAGAGCACAGAAACAAGGTTTACCTTCCCACCGGAGCGGTACCTATTTATCTACTTGCACTTTTGACGTGCTTTCAAACTGCTAGGTTGGCAGGAACTGGGACCGAGGAACGGGAGCTCACCCCGTCGTGGGGATTCGAACCGCCGACCTTCTGATCGGCAAGTCCTAGGCTCTGTGTTTTAACCCACAGTGCCACCCAGGTCCCCTAATGACTATTAGACTCATATTATATCACCAAATACACCACCTCCCCAGTCTCGCTTGCTATAAATAATCAGGCAGTTGATTCTTTCAGAGGAGGATTTTGCCATATAGCATAGCAAAACAAAATATTATAACAAAGGAGGCTCACCCCCCCACACACACAGACTTTCAGTTCCAACATACCAAGTCAACATGTTTATCCTTTTTCCGTTCAAATCCTTTTTACACCTCAGTGGATGAATTAATTATCAGAGTAGTTTCTTCCCCTTCACTCAGATCATGTTCAAAACTTAAATCCAATTTTTCATCTTAAGAACTGGAAACTTGCTGCTAAATGGAGGCGACTTTGGAGAGTTACCAAGAAACGATCCAGGCTTTCCATCCAGCCACCCCCAGCGCCCCCCTTCCTTCTGAATCTGGGGCCAGGTGTTGGGCAATCTGTGGATGAGCTGCCACTCCCCAGCCTGGGGAATGTAGGGAGGCTGATTACTCCCTTCTCAGCCTCTGATTCCGGAACGTACGGCAGTGATGGAATTCAGCAATCCTCCATCGCAGCTCGCCAGCAGCTCCTCCCCCAAATGCTCCCCTATTATTGGATACAATCAATATGTACAAGAATGAAGCTGTGATGATGCCATAATAATAATAAATATCAACAGAAAACATTGAGCAAGGTTATCTGTGTTTTCCTATATAAGCTGGGGTTGGTGCTGTCCCTAAACTTGGTAAACTTGGGATATAGATTCAATATATATTCAATATTTTAGTGTGTGTGCGTGCACGTGTTTATATTTGAATAAATAGGAATATCATGAGTTCTTGTTTCCACTTGGAAACGTTTGACTTTTGCTTTTTCCAGATTTCATATGGTTCATTTGAACCAGCCATAAATTATGGAACCAAGTTCCCTTCCTTTTACCGCATGGTCCCCAATGAAGACCTTCAGTATCAGGGAATTATCCAGTTACTTCTGCATTTCAGATGGAAATGGGTTGGGCTCATCACTCAAGCTAATGAAGCTGGGGAACGTTTCTTACAGACAATTGAGCCAATGCTTTTCAAGAATGGAGTCTGTTCAGCATTCACAGAAAGAGTTAAACTCAATATACATTATAACAGTAACTTACTAGAAATGGTGGACATAAAGGTTTTGTCACCAAGTTTCACAACAAGCAAAGCTAATGCAATTCTTCTACATGGAGGAAGTAGATTTAGTATATGGTTGTCAAGTGCTTTAATCATAATGGAGTTAACTCAGCTACTATTTCCTCAAAAGAAGTCACATGAAGGAAAAGTATGGATTACAACTACTCAAATTGATTTCATATTATATAGCCTTCAAAAAAAAATTAATGTTAATATACGAATGCTCCATGGTGCTATATCCTTTGCAATTCACTCCAAGGAGATTCACAACTTTCAAGACTTTCTTCGGAGTGTATATCCTCATTGGACAGAGACAGATGGTTTTATCCAAGATTTCTGGGAAGATGCATTCAGTTGTTCACTTCCAAATTCCACTCTCTCAACATCCAACGATCACATGTGTACTGGAGAGGAGATGCTGGAAAGCCTTCCTGCACCATTTTTTGAAATGAGCATGACTGGCCACAGCTACAGTATCTATAATGCTGTCTATGCTTTGGCACATGCCTTAAATAGAATACACTTGGCTGCAGTCAACCGCGAAAGGAGAGATGCTGGGGGAAGACTCTCTCCTCAATATGTAGAACCTTGGCAGGTAATGTTCTCTGTTACAAAGCATTCACTTCATTGATACATTATGTGAGATAGCATTTAATCATCAGTAAAGAAATAAAAGAATAAAACTTAAGAAATTAAAAATAAACCTTAAGTAAATTTATTGTTTGAAAGATGGGAATTAGAATATTTCCTATAATGATACTAAACAGACTTTAAATGACACAGACTTTCAGAAGCAACAGACTACCAACAACTACCTCCTTCACGCTGCAAACCCCTCCGTTTTCTCCAAATATCCCTCCCCAGTTCTCTCTGTCTCTCCTACCTGTCCAGTTACCCAGTGGTGTAATGTTGGGGGCCTGGGGCCCATGGCCCCGGGTGCATAATTCTGATGGAGCAAACCAGGACACCAACCCCAGGCACTGGCTTTTGCAGGGATCCTCATATCCAAGAGAAAACAGAAGAGCAGCCCATCAGGGAGCTGCCACTACCTGGGCACGTCTTGGAAGGCCTCGTCCCCAACTCCTCATCTTTCCCTGTCTGTCAACCACCAGGGTTTTCTGGGCGCTGAAGCCTCACTGGTAGGTCCCCAGAAGAGACTAGCAATTGTGTGATCACTGTCTCTAGACCCTGCTTTTCTCCCTTCTCCTCTTCTGGATTTCAGTCTGGCACATCCTCTTCCTGCTCCCTTAACCCTGTTGCCCCTTCTGCATCTGACACCTCTTCCTCCCAGTCAGCTCCCTCTTCTCACACTGACCACTCCTTGTCATCCCACCACCAATCCCCTGGCTCTGAGCCTCCTTTCCTTGGGGTGTCCCTTGGGGGTTCTCCAGCTGCTGCTCCCTATCACTTCTCTGCATCCAACATCCAACCATGGTCAAATCCACTCTATAAACTATGGAAAGGTTCAGTCCAATGTTCTCATGTTGCATTCCTATCCTTTGAGAACATGAGCTCCCATCACTTCTCTTACATGACTTCTTAAATTCCTTCCCTTTCTTGGATACAGACAAAGGCTGGTCTCAAGCAAGCAGGTCTATGGTCTCATCTCTCCATAATATCTTTATGCAAGTCTGTTGAATGTTGAATTGGCACTGATTCATGATTCCCTACTCCTTCTGTATGTGCAACTAAAATATGGATGTTCTCCATTGTGAACTGAATTGTTTAACTTCAATTCTCTTTCCACTTAGCTCCACTCATTCCTGCAGAGAATCACATTCAACAACAGTGCTGGGGATGAAATTACATTAAATGAGTATGGAGAGTTAGCAGCTGGCTTTGATATTACCAACTTGGTCACTTTCCCAAATAATTCCTATGTCAGAGTCAAAGTGGGCAGGTTGGATTCTCAGGCCCCTCCAAGTAAAGAGCTCACCATTAATGAAGACAGAATCAAATGGAACAGACGCTTCACTAAGGTATGGAAATAATGGCACAGTCCCTGAAAACCCAGAATTTGTGGTTATCCACAAAATGGGATGTAACAAAAGCACTTCATACATTATTCATTTTGAAATTCACTAGTACCTGAAACCACTTCAGACTAGTGATGAGTTAGAATCGAGGAGTGCTCCCAGACCTCTTGTTTCAAACGGAATGCAACTCCTCCCAGAACAGGTCAGGCATAGGAACCCAAAGCATTTCTCTCTGAGACAGGATGTGGCCGAACAGGAAACCACAACCCAAAAGTCATGGAATGATTTCCTAGTCCTAGTTGCTTGTAATGAACCAGCAGGTAGGAGCAGAACCACTATAATGGCTTACCTTTAATTCCTTGTGCCACCACAAAGGAACACCATGTGAACTCCTTGAAGTAAATGCCATTAAGTGGTGACTCCATCAAAAGGCCAAGCCAAATTCTAACACAGCTGTAAGGTTGGATGGTCCAGGCATGAATACTGACATCTTCTTAAGTTTGTATGATGCTTAGAACAGCAGCTTTTTACCACAATGTATGTGCCACTTGTGTACCTACAGATCATTTCATGCTATTAGTCCTCCTATTTACTATTAAATCACCTGATATTGGAAATTTGATAAATTCCTCAAAACAGTATCATAATATTAAACTCTTCCTATCTCTTTGCATAGGTGCCACCACTTTCTGTATGTAATGCCAACTGCCATCCTGGTTACGGGAAGAAAAAGAAGGAGGGGGAGAAGTTTTGCTGCTATGATTGTGATCCATGTCCAGAAGGAATGATTTCAAATGAGAAAGGTTAGAGATGACATCTTTATATAATGTAGAAGCTCTGGGCTCCTTGCAATTTTGTTGACATTAAACTGCTGCAGGAGAAAAGGCTTACATTAACAGATGTGTTCATCTCATTGTTTATAGATAACACCAATATATTTAAATCTTTAAAACATCTTGAAGATTTCTTTTTTAAGTGGAAGCTAATATATTTTACCTCCAACTTCTACAAAATTAGGGTGGAATAGAAGTGGTGTTTTCTCCTCTAAGAATTAGGTTGTTTGCCAAGGGGGTGAAAGTCTCATTAAACTCGATTTTCTGAGATCCAAAGATTTCAGCAGTAATGCATTTCTCATTTTGTTGTACTGTTTATGTGGCTCTAAGAAAAAGCAGGGGGACAGTAAAAACAGATAACACACATGTTGAAAATTCCAGAATTGATACACAAGTTTTATTTTTGATACACCTAGTGCAAAAGCATTTGGGCTTGAAGCTCTTATACATTCTGACGTAGAAAACACTATGCTAAATGGACTAGTGATGTGAAATTCTTAAGAATACTTTTGGTTACTTCAAATTGTCACACACTGTTTGTGCATTTTCAGACATGGAAACATGTGTCAGTTGCCCAGCAGATCAGTATCCAAACAGCGGCCAGGATCTATGCATTCCTAAGATTCCAAACTTCCTAGCCTTTGATGAAACCTTGGCCATTGTTTCAACTTCCTCTGCACTTTTATACTCTCTCATCACAATTCTGGTGCTCAGCATCTTCATTAAGCATCGCAATACAGCCATAGTCAAAGCCAACAACCGAAGCCTCACCTATGGTCTCCTTATCTCCCTCCTCTTGTGTTTCCTCTCTTCTTTGTTGTTTCTCGGAAAACCTAATATGGTGACTTGCCTTCTCCGACAAACTGCTTTTGGCATTGTCTTCTCTGTGGCTCTCTCCAGCATCTTAGCCAAAACCATATTGGTGGTTTTGGCATTCATGGCTACCAAACCAGGATCCAATATGAGGAAATGGGTAGGCAAAGAACTGGCTTATTCCATTGTCTTTTCCTGCTCCATTGTTCAAGTAGGGATCTGTGTCCTCTGGCTGGCAACCTCTCCCCCATTCCCAGATGTGGACATGCACTCAATGCCTGAAGAAATCATATTTCTATGTAATGAAGGGTCAGTCTCCATGTTCTATTGTGTTTTGGGCTACATGGGATTCCTGGCCACTATCAGTTTCACGGTGGCCTTCCTAGCCAGGAAGTTGCCTGACACTTTCAACGAAGCCAAGTTCATCACCTTCAGCATGCTGGTCTTCTGCAGTGTTTGGCTCTCCTTCATTCCAACCTATCTGAGCACCAGAGGAAAATACATGGTGGCTGTGGAGATCTTCTCCATCTTTGCTTCTGGTGCTGGGTTACTGGTTTGCATTTTTTCCCCTAAATGCTACATTATTGTGGTGAGGCCTGACCTGAACAACAAAGATCAGCTAACACAAAGAAAGGTATAAATGATAGTGGAATTTGTGGCTCTGTTGGGTCTTAGAATAGATGGACTTGGTGGCGGGTATCACTTTCCAGGTCCCTGCTCTGGATCTGTGTAGAGTTAGCTCCTTAACTGTTTTGTCTGCCAAAGATGTCCCAAAGGCAATGGGTACAGATTTTTCCTCAGGTTCTACTCCCTAAGCCTTTTTCACAAATGAATAATGCTGTAAAGCAGTGGAGATTTAGGTTCAAAGATTCCTTCTCCTAGGTGG